TACGTTAAACACATAAAATTTCTTTTTTCTTTATTCGTTACAGCGTTTCGTCGAAGCAAATCAGTTCGCCTTTAATCGCCACGAAAAGAATCGTATTCGGCCAAGATGAACCACAGTTTTTCCCAGCGTTTTAATATCGAGCGACTGGTTAGCGCTCCCTTCCGCGATTCTCTTTCTCTTTCCCCGACTCCCCATTTGCCAGCACCCTCTTAGGCGACCGGTATATACGTATATCCTCGGCATCGAATACGGGAACCCCGTCGCAACGCGCGCGCGTTGTTCGGAGTTGACGAGAATTCGGTGGCAAAAGCTTCCCGCATCTCGATTTTGGTTCGTCGACTTTCCGCGTTCGTATCTGCGTCTTGTCGTCTGTTTCGCGAAAGATATCCACAGAGAACATTACTTTTAATTAAATTGCACGCGAAGGGGTTAACTTTGGCTTCGGAGGGGAGACGATCCGGTGTTGGGTGACGTTGGCAACTCGACCGCAGACTACTCGAAAGTTTGGCAGCCAGCATCGACGAAGGGTGGAAATATTCGGTTGCTCGATGGCTTTCCACGTAGAAGGCTCTCGTGTTTCTCGCAAACGGGCAGAAATCCAGAGAGGAAAAAGCGAGGTCGATTCCATCGAAACTGCTCTTTGGTCCTTTCCTCCCGCCACCTTCTTTCCGCTTCTGTTTATCGCTCGCGTATATTTTTTTCCTACCAACCCCTTTACGCGTCGCTTGTTCTCGCTAACGAATCTTAGAAAGCAACGTTTAATATCGAACCTCTGCAGAGTTTAAAATTTTAGTCGTTCTTTTTCCACGAAACACGTAACGATTAATATCGGTAATTTGCGATTAATAAGCAAACATTCGGTAGCTCGTGCAAGGAGCTCGGACGAAATAAATATTTGAACGCGTTGATCGTCGGAGCGATCTTCGTACACGCTTACGCTCGTCGCGAAAATCGATAGACGTAGATGCGCGAGAAAAAAAGTGCCACGAAGCCTCTGTCTGTCTGCCAGTCAGAATTTTGTTCCCTACGTTTTATAACGCGGATGTCGTCCCTCTGTTGCTTTACACGTCTCGCTTTCCCGGTTCGCTTTTTCCACGTGCGATAAAACGACAATGTTACCACCTGTTGTTTATCGTCTTTCGAGCGAGGAATAAAAAGGGTATCTCGCTCGTCTTCCACGGAAAGCAAACATAAGCGAATTACGGTTAAGAGACGACGCTAGCGAGCGTATTCGTTGCATATTACACGGAAAACGCTCGCAACTTTTCGACGAATCGTTTCGCGCACCTTATCCGTGGCGCAAGCTTTGCAACGCGTTCACGATTCGAGATTTTTCAATAATTTCCGGCGGTGGTTTTGAGCGGAAACGGGTGACGTGCACGGTTGGGCAACACGAATTCGTCGCGGGTATTTCAAACAGTTTGCTACCGGACAAAGTTTCCAAGCTTGTTCGCTTTGGAGGCCGTTATCGGTCCCCAGGGTGTCGCGTCGTATTTTAACTTCGGACGTGTCGCGTAATAGCTCGATAAATGTAAATCTCGTTATCTTGATGGTTCGCGCCGCGGTAGTTAACGATTTTTACCTTCTCTTTGTCCACTGTAACAAAAAAAGCAACCTTATATTTGGATAGTAACTCGCACGAATCAGGAACCGTTCGAGTCGAAAACCGAGTACGGAAAGGTTCGCGATAACTTGATCTATCGACGCGCAAAAGCTCGTTAAAATCGGATGAAACGGTTGGAAAGTTCTCCTTGTTAGCTCGGCTATTTCTGAGCACGCTCGTCAACGCGTCGAGCAACGACTAAGAAATACAATCAACGAAGGCTCGGATAATTCGGTTGAACCTCTCGGTTTTCTCGTTCGACGTAAACTCGTTAAATCGAGGCCGGCGGTCGAGCTGTACACGCTCGTACATCGAAGGACCTCGGTGAAAACACTTTGGTGTAAAAACAGAGTTAGTGGCGTAATCCCTTCCTCTTTATCCGTCGATACAGGCCTCTCTCTCTCTCTCGGTCTCTCTGGCCCTTTTTCTGTCTCCCCGTATCGTATCCTCCCAGGTTCTTCCGCAGGATACAGGAGCGTCTCGTGGTCGTGGACGTGGTCGTGGATAGGGGTGTACGCACGGAGAGGGTCACGGGAACTGTAGCTGGATTCAGGCTCTTTCTGTCTTAGTGGTGTGGCGTTACCATGGTAACAGACTGTAAGCCGCTTAACACCACCCTCTACACCCTTTCCACTCGCTGAAATCCTTGTGCTTCCGACGTCGAGTCAACCCACCCAGCTCCGTAGTTCGCGTTGGCGAATGTCGCTTTCCCTTTGCACCCTTCGACTACCTTTCCCTCGCTGTTCTGCTCGTTGCCCTGGCCCGTCCACCTTCGGCTTCGAATAAAACTGCCCACGCACGTTTTTGCGCTTTGTTCGAGGACGGTCAACCGATCCTCCCTTTCTCCGCACGGAAAGCTCTCGCGCGTTAACGATGCTCGGATATTCTCGAGCATGATCTCGAGATCGAGGAAGCAACGACTGATCCTGTACCGAATTAATCGTGCCACGATGTTAACGGTTTCCTAGCGAAGATATTCCTTTCGAGCCGAGATGATCGTCGTTGCGTATAATACCCGTGACTCTTGATGGTCGTCCTTCGGAGCGTACACAGGAAACGCAAGAGGGTAGAAATCGAAGGCTAGACAGAAAGGGAGGGATTATACGAAAGACGCTAACGAAGACAGAGACAGCGGCGCGGAATACGGGTGAAAAGAAATCGCGTTCCGAAGCGGAGCGTTTTGAGAGGGTGGAACTCGCGAGGGAGGAAAAGAGAGACGGTCGAGATGGAACATTGGGGTTGCACGCGGAGAGGCGTAGAGAGGCGAAGTGGGGCGGGAAGAGGAGAAGAGACGAGAGGAGAGGAGAAAGAGGGACCGTCGCGTGTCCGCCGAGAGGAAACGAAGGTGTGTGCGCTTTGCTGACGAGGAATTGAATGGAGGGTGAAAACCATCCTCGGAATCACCGCGGAGAGAGCCATCGAGTATTCTCTCCCTGTTATTTTCTCGTTTTAACCGGAGGGCTTTTTCGCGCATGGAAAAGAGAAAGAGAAGATTCGTCGTTCGTCTCTTTCTTCGTTGAGCACCGTTCCAGACAAAGGACCACCCGGATGCCGACGTGTCCTAGCTCATCCTTGATTTATAAAAAAGAGAAAGAAAGGGAAGAAATCGTCGAACAAACGAGAAGAAAAAAAAAGAGCAAAACGTCAAAGAACGAATTCGCGTGACGGCAGTCTCTTTCGATAGAAATCGATCCGGTTTGAATGTTCTTCCGAATCGCTTACTCTTTTCATTGGGTTCCCCGCTGAATCCCAGATTCGTATCGCTGCAAACAGTTTCCAAAGATCAAAGAAACGTTTTCCTTCCTCTCGATCGTGCGGGAAAGCGTACGACGTCCCCAAACGATGCTTGTCCTATCGGGTCAGACGTACTCGTCGGCAAGAAAAAAGAAGGTAAACGCGAGAGGTTGAGAAATATCGTTGCGAGTAATTTGTAATTAGCCAGTCGACAGACAGTCATATTCTCGTATTGTCGTCGATTGACTCGGTTCGCGCGACGGATTATAAAAGGCTGTAATTAATATTCGCCACGGTCGTAGAAAATAATTAACGTCCGTCAGCCGCGCTCGAACGATACTCTATTATCGCTCGACCGATGCTCGTGCTCCCCTCACGGCTATCGTCATCGTCCTGGCGAATTACGCATTCTCGTTTCAAAAAAAAAAAGGAAAAAGAAACAGAGAAGAGAAAAAACAGGATCAAAGAGGTCGAACGCGCTGAATACTCGTTCAAGTATTAATTCAGTTTTAATGAGAAAACCTGACGCGTTTAGACTGACAGAAATATACGATTACCGATGCATTAACCTTTCACGGCTTAAACGTGCCCCTTCGGCGTATTGAAAATTAACTATCAAATATTAATGAAAATTAAATGTAACAACGAAAAAAATTGTAACTTCGAATCGGCTGATTCTCGATATTTGGAATATAATTTGTAAAAAGGGAAACGCTTTGCGAAAGCTTGAGTCGCGAGATTACGATGTATTTCGTCTTGTCGTTGATCGAAACGCGCACAATGTATCGAGAAAACTGACTCACGGTGCAAGTATTCTGTTAGAAGTCAAAGTTTATCGTCCGTATCATTAATTTGGCCGCGAACGGATAATTATTGCGTGTACAGTAATAAATAAGTATTTTCGACTCGATTCTGCGAGAAAGAAACACGTCAAACCATATTTGCTGGAGATAAGGTCGATACCGACCGATCGACGGATGAATCGGTAATTTAACTCGCTACGTACTCGTGTAACAGCGATTAATGTTTAGCTACGATATTTCGCATTCGTACGTATCGTTTTTTATTCGCTGTAAACGTTTCTCACGATTACGCCTCGTCTAATCTCTCACGATGCTCTTGCGTATTAAACCGCGAGTCATCCTTTGCTTTTGAAGCGACCTCTGGCATTCTTATATCTCGAGACTCGTTTCTAATTAATCTTCGAGTCGATTGCGACTGACCGACCTCAACAATAACCGGTCGACCTGTGATCTCTGCTCCGTAACCACGCGACAACGGAAAATTATATCTTTATAGGCAATCTCGCGTTTTTGTCGCGAACAAGATACTGCCCGAAAAAAAGTCCGATATAGAAACGTTCTTGTACCGTTGGGAAAATCAACGATACGCTTTGCACTTTGTAATTTTTTTTCACCCATTTATGACTCGCAAGGAGAAACGATTTCTCGTCTTCTCTTGACGCATCGAATAGTAAACGAAAACGTTTCGTGAAAGCCTCACGACCTACGAATCGTTAGAATAATGCGCAACGTTGACCCCCGGCTGGTCGCAGAGGCGCGTCGGGTTAAGCGTTAGAAACGGCTTAAGGAAGTTTGGTAAAATACTCGTGCAGAATTGATCGTACGAGGTCGCGTCTCATTGAACTCTCGACCCGTTTCAGGTCTCCAGCCTGCCAGCACCAAAGCGCAACCTACCACGATCAGCAAGTCTCACAGACCTAGTTCCGGCGTTTTACCTCAGTGTCATACCCCTGGGCCCGGCCCAGGTGGTCAACAGAACAGCAGAAGCTTCGCCGCCGCTCTGAGAAACCTGGCCAAACAGGCAGGACCGGCACCTCAAGAAGAAGAGCCTCGCGCGAGTCCCAAGAATCGAGCACCGCCTCCTCTCGTTAGAGGTCCTTCCCCTGCCAAGGTGAGTAATCCTAACGACCAACCTTTTATTGCCTTTTTTTTCTTCGTTTATCCTCTGTCTCTTCCCTGCTTCTGTACGCTTCGCTAAACCCTATAAACTTGTCCGCTTCGAAAACGGAACGAACCTTCTTTCGCGATTGCGAGATCACTGTACGCATCGGGTGTCGTAACCCTGGACTGTCACCCTCTGAAGGGTCGCTCGAAGGGTATGCTCGAGGTCACTCGAACAAGTTCTCGTCATTGGGACATTGCGTTTAGATCGAAAGAAGGGGAGCCGACTGCCACGGTAGAAATAGATTAATCGTAAACGATTTGCTATTTCGAATTTCTAACGTAACTTCGAGGAAATGGGTAGCCGTTAACGATCGCGGCAATTTGTATTCTAGGAACGGTCCACGCACGAAAGAAGACCCGAAGAGATTCCCTCCTTGTACACGACTGCGAGACCCGCGGACACCAGCAAACATAGCGTAACAGCCGCAGCTTCCGAGTTATTGGCCCGTTCCGGCTTTCAGCCGTACCGGCCCGAGCACCATCCGGCCCATGCTCCACCGGCTTTCGCCCTGGATCCTGCGGCCTACAGTCCTTATCACCACGGTCTCTACCCACCGCCACACCTTCAACACGCTTATAGGTAATTTTCAATTCCTTACGCGATCGTTTCACCGATCGATCGATTACCGCCGGAACAGTTGCCGAATGCGAACCTCTCGTTATTTAACTAACGTCGTTAACGATACTTAGTAATAAAGCAACAAGTTCGAGCAGAGCGGTTCGATTTTAGCAACTCTTCTTCGCCTGTTCGTCAACGATGATTTAACACGAAACTTTTGTTCCGGACTTGCACAGATTAGAGGAACAGTTGTACTTGGAACGGTGTGGAATGCTGAGACCGCCATTGTTTCCTGGACTACCCTCGTATCCTCTATACGGGTTAAGATATAGTCCAGACATGCTACCACCTGCGTCTCTGGGACTCATGTCTCCTGCGATGCACGAACGGTAAGTAGAAACGCGCGAACTTACTAATTTACGCGATAGAAGGCGAGTCAGTCGAACGTACTTACTCGATTGCCACTCGATTCTCGTTTCAGGCTGAAACTAGAGGAGGAACATCGGATGAGGCAAGCACGGGAACAGGCTGCATTGCGGGAGGAGGAGGAGAGGAGAAGAGCGGCACGAAATTCTGCTCCTGCCGCCCCGGTACCCGCGCCTGCACCTGCATCCGCCGATACTGCAGGTGAGCGAGTCGCTCCACCCCCCACTGCCTTTCATTAAAAAGAAAGCATCGATTACGAGCGATCGCGCGAGACTTCTGTCCCGTCGTTGGTCACGCACTGAATAACTTTACTTTATCCTTCTTTCTTTCTTTCTTTTTATTCTACCGTTTTTTCTTTCTTTCTTTCTTACTTTCGTGTACGATCGTGTCACACGATATATACCGTCGGGTACAATCGCGTGCAACGTAAGCTTCCCCTAGAGATTAACCCTTTGCGGACGATTTACTGTACAAGTCCAAACGGAATCATCCTAATAATTTATAAATTTGTACCACGTTCGACGAGTAATATTCGTCGGCAAAGGATTAAGAGGAAGCGCAGGAGGAGAAGATCTACCAACGCTCGCCACGAAACGCGTGCGGATCAGGCGAACAACGGAGAGTGGGTCAATCTGTACTCTTTCTCGTAACCGAGGGAGATCTACGTTGCACACGAGTGTACGCTTACCCGTCTTGGTTCCATCCTCTTCCCAACGATGTTCTTCTTTCTTGGGTCGTTTCGCGTCCCGCGTCGTTTCGATCGACTCATTTTTTCTCTTCTTTCTTCGCGATTTTTCTCGACGCGTCAAATTTATCGGAAGTTCTCGCGAGAGAATCGTTCGTTTTAGAATTACTTTCTAAAGGAGCAGGAAGATCGATCGTCCACCTCTTTGTTCGCGAGTTCTTTTTCTGGTCCAACAATCGGTGCCGAGCGATCGAACCATTCGTGACGAACGTTGTTTTAGTAACGTTAAGTCCGCACGAGCTGTACTGCGATCGACAGTTCATCCGCAAACGGATCAACTGACGAAGCAAGCGAGGAGAAGTCGTTGTAGATTATACCTGACTGTGAATGGGATATAGAAACAGACAAAAAAATACACCCACACACGATGCTACGCTTCTAATTTTAATCTAGGTATAATCAAATTTATAGTCGTAGTTTAATCTTGTTTCTTACGACGGTAGGATCGATATTTTTTAGATATAGCCCACCCCCCACTGCCTTTCATTAAAAAGAAAGCATCGATTACGAGCGATCGCGCGAGACTTCTGTCCCGTCGTTGGTCACGCACTGAATAACTTTACTTTATCCTTCTTTCTTTCTTTCTTTTTATTCTACCGTTTTTTCTTTCTTTCTTTCTTACTTTCGTGTACGATCGTGTCACACGATATATACCGTCGGGTACAATCGCGTGCAACGTAAGCTTCCCCTAGAGATTAACCCTTTGCGGACGATTTACTGTACAAGTCCAAACGGAATCATCCTAATAATTTATAAATTTGTACCACGTTCGACGAGTAATATTCGTCGGCAAAGGATTAAGAGGAAGCGCAGGAGGAGAAGATCTACCAACGCTCGCCACGAAACGCGTGCGGATCAGGCGAACAACGGAGAGTGGGTCAATCTGTACTCTTTCTCGTAACCGAGGGAGATCTACGTTGCACACGAGTGTACGCTTACCCGTCTTGGTTCCATCCTCTTCCCAACGATGTTCTTCTTTCTTGGGTCGTTTCGCGTCCCGCGTCGTTTCGATCGACTCATTTTTTCTCTTCTTTCTTCGCGATTTTTCTCGACGCGTCAAATTTATCGGAAGTTCTCGCGAGAGAATCGTTCGTTTTAGAATTACTTTCTAAAGGAGCAGGAAGATCGATCGTCCACCTCTTTGTTCGCGAGTTCTTTTTCTGGTCCAACAATCGGTGCCGAGCGATCGAACCATTCGTGACGAACGTTGTTTTAGTAACGTTAAGTCCGCACGAGCTGTACTGCGATCGACAGTTCATCCGCAAACGGATCAACTGACGAAGCAAGCGAGGAGAAGTCGTTGTAGATTATACCTGACTGTGAATGGGATATAGAAACAGACAAAAAAATACACCCACACACGATGCTACGCTTCTAATTTTAATCTAGGTATAATCAAATTTATAGTCGTAGTTTAATCTTGTTTCTTACGACGGTAGGATCGATATTTTTTAGATATAGCGCACAATTCACTCGAAGGACGAGTTATATTTTTCTTTTCTGTTGTTTTTTTTTTCTTTCTCGTCTCGTTTGAAATTTAAAACCGGTCCGATTTTAGCCAAATGATTTTGTTTCGCCTGTAGACCGAAGTCAGACTTATCGCCAGTTGCGAACTGTCCTCTACTCTGATTCGAAAGTATAAGTCGGCCTTCGGTGGGCCGTTTACCCGTTTTTATGTGCCGTTGTTCGAGCCATATAACTCTGTGTTCCAAATGATTTGTTGTAGTGTCAAAACTGATACCTCTTACTCATGTACAACCATCGTGTACGTTACAATAGTTAATCGTTTTGTAGTTAGAGTAACGTTCTTAACAGCGAAACTTCAACATAAGAGTGCACGCGTGTTTGTACGGTTGAAGCTTCTTTTCGTTCGCGCGTTACAACTTGACTGTTAATTATCGAAGGACAACGTTCACGTTGTTACATAAATTATCTTTTTATTCTCGTACGTTTTTTACGCGTTCGGTCTTTGCAAATGACCTTTTTTGTCCTCGACAAATACACTTTTGTGTCTTTTCTTTTTCGCTATTTTCTTTGTTATGTATGCACGGTACGTTAACGTAGAAATTACAATTTAACACTGTAATCGGTGGTTGTCGGTCGATTAGTATGCATATCAGATTTTGTTTTTTTTTTTTTTTCGTTTTTACTTCCATCGATACCGTTTCTTTTCATTTTTCTTTTTTTCTTTTCATTTTTTTATTTTTTCTCAAATCAGTAACACAAGAATCGTTGAGAATCGTTGAAGCTCTCTTGTCGCGTATTTCCGTAAAACGGTACACGAACTTAATCGTTAAGCATTTGTATCTTTGTTCCTAGGCGGAGTGCACTCTTGCGTTAGTTCCCGCAACTGTTTTAGAAATTTGCAATTAAACTAAACGTTCAGTGTCAAAATGATTTCTCTTAATTGTAGTGGACCTATCTCACCCAAATGTTGACTTGATCCACCGATGTATATAACTTTGTCATACATGTTCTTTTATCAAAATTATACCGTTTTTATATAATTTATTATGTAAACATGTATATTTGGACTATAATTGAAAATAAACATTGCAAAAAAAAAACAACGTGATCAAAATTCTGATTGACTTGGAATTCTTGACCCTCGATTCATTTTCTGAAACAGTTTTGGGGAGGATTCAGTGTGATCTCGGTCATTTTTCAAAGATATATCATGCAAGTTTATCGTGTATCGTTACGATGATAATTACGAGCATCCCAATCAGTAGTCAGTCAGCGAAATTATTTCTCTTTTATTCGATCCATACGTTTGTCCGATCTCGTTGAAATTCTACTGTCAATCATCCCCAATACTTTGATACGAACGCATCAAGCTATAGATTAACCGTGAAAGTTGCGTGTATGGATCGCTCAGGTAAGTCGAAACTTCGGAGGTCGTTTTGCTCTTCTGCGTTCTACGAAATATAGAAGCACGCGCTGCGTTTGATCGTTCGAAATCACGTCGACGAGGTACGTATCGAATACCTCGAACCGTTGCAAGGACGATCGGTTGCTCGAGACACGATGATAACGGCGTATATGCGAGACATGGTCTTAATCGATTCGAGGATGTTTCAACGCTTCTCCTCGCGCACGAATCCAGCGGAAAGTAGTAGGAACAGAGAAGGGGTTAAATGCGACGCGAGGAATTTAAAGAATCGATTGCCGTAAACGATTCGTTCCCCGTACTAACTAGTAAGCCGATAGCAGCAGATCAGTGGAAGATTACCAAGCACTGTGTTCGGGATTTGTTCCAGCTAGGAAGCCGACCATAGCGGCTCAGATGCATAGCGACCGGGAGCGAGAACGCGAGAACAAAGATCGACAGAGTGGAAGCGGTAGCGGAGGTGGCGGAGGCGGAGGTAGCGGAGGAGGCGGAGGCGGCGGTAGCAACAACAACAACAACAGCACCACCACCACGACCAACAATAACGGTAATAATAGCGTTGGATCTGTCGGTAACAATCACCATCAGTCGAGGAAGGAAGAACAGTCTTCCGGTCCAGCCCCACCATCGGCACCGCAACCGTCGGATCCAACGGCAACCGCAAACATCTACCACTCTCGTTTGCCAACGTTCCCGAGTCCAGCGGCTCCTATTGGACCACCGTCATTGGTTTCCGCTTCTATCTGTTCCGTCAGTTCTGCGGCCATGCCGCCTCCTTTGGCTTCTACTTTGCCCCCTCTGAACCTTGGACCTCCGCCAGCTATAAGCTCCGCGCCCATCGGCCCTCCTCCCATCCCTTCTATAGCCTCTATGTCATCCTTAACGCCAACGGTAATAGGACCCCCGCCACCTCCTCCACCCTTAACCATGCCTTTGGCGCCTATCATTTCTATACCTTCCCTCCATCTGCCTCCCGTATCCTCCACCACCATTCATTCTAGTCAGCATACAGCTACGATAATGAGCAGCGCGACGACTACCGTCACGACCTCTGTATACCATCAGCAACAGCAGCAACAACAACAACAAATGCAACAGTCGCAACAACCACCACCGGCACCATTACCACCGCTACCACCGCTGTCGCAGCATCAACGTAGCAGCAGCACTGGTGGTACGACGACGACTAGTTGTTCGTCGAGCAGCTGTACGATGTCCACTCACGGAACGCACACTCTTACGACGCCTAACGTCGTACCCTCGACGATCAACAGCGTCAATCACATGACTTTAACCCATAAATCGCCGCCGCTGTCCCACGGTATTCATAGCTCGAGGAGCAAAGACAACGCAGCACCGACCATCGCGACCACGAACGCCTCGAGCGCCTCTACCACGGTCACTACCGTCACCTCGACGAATACATCGGCGACCTCGCAACCGGCTTTCGTCAGACCTTTCGAAGATTCTTTTCGATCCTCTTCGAAATCCCAACAAAGGCCGATCGTGAACAGTCACAATCATAGTATAGCGAATCAGCTTTCTTATCAGGAATCGCCTGTAAAATCGACCGCGACCACGGCCGCGTCTCAAACGATAGTTGGTCAAACGTTAGCCGACAGTTCTATCGCGGACAACGCTAAGAACACGAACCTTCAGCAATCGCTGTCGCAGCCCATCCCTTATCCGCCGCAACAGTTTCATCATCCGCATATACCCGTCTCGCACGTGGCCAGTTTGTACAAACCACCTCATTTCTCCTCTTCGTCTCCCCATCAGCATCATTCGCAGTCCAAGATGAATGTTCCGTCGCTAACGACCAACAGCAGCAACAGCAGCACGAACGTGACCAATTCGAATTGCGCGAAACAGAATGTGCACCATACGGGCGATCCTAATCAACCGACAACGACCACTACCATCACCGCCGCTCAACGAAACGATAATTCGACCACGAATCTGGTCAACTGCGTTTCCAACGAGAAAGCACCGATCAACTTGAACTACAGCGGCAACGGTCAGATCCAATCGGGGAACAAGATCGCGAATCACGCGAATTCGCATCACAGGAGCGGACCCGATACGCCGATCAAGGAAAGTAAACCGAATTCGTGCAACGAAAAAATCGAGAATCACTCGAAACTAATTGGAGCGAATCAGAATCACGTGGGAAAGAGTTCGCTTCAAGACAAACCCTTGACGACCCCTCATCTAGCTCACGAACAAGGAAAAGGTCCGCCCGCCTTCCAACCCGCGACCTTCAATCTAATGGAGAAAGAGGCGAAATCGGACGTAGAGTCTAAGATACAGAACGAGCAGAACAACGTTTTGTCCACATTATCGTCGTTTCAACCGAGTTTTAAGTTCAGCATAAACGATATCGCACAGAAGCAGCCTATAGACACGACTCAGCTGATGCAGAGCATCAAGTCTGAGGAGGTTTTGCGTACCTGTCAGAACGTATCCAACGTTCTCTTGCAGATACCAAAATATCAAGAGAAACTGTTGAATTTCTCGAACGAGTTGAAAACCGCATTTTGTTTCACCGACAAGTGCAATAATTTGACTGAGATTTCCGTGAAGTGCGAGCCAGCGGTGTTAAATGTGCCTGACCTGAGCAAGGCTCTAGTCAAACAGGATGCTACCAGCGAAAAGTCTTTTCTTGTACCTGAAAAGCCGAAGGAGTTAACGTCCTCGTTAGATCTAGCGGAGAGAAGAAGGAAAAGAAAAAGGGAACGAAACGCGGGTGTCGCGTGCAGTTCCGATTCCGAAGGCGAAGAAGAGATCAAGGACGTGGATCTGTGGATCACCAAAGGTCCTCCCGCCAAACTACAGTATTCTGAAAAGAAACTGGCTTTCCTCGCTATGTTTGGTTTAACCACTCTAAGTATGCGAAACGGTAAGGTTACTTTTTTTTATTATTTCTATTTTCTCGGAGGCACGTCGTAAACACATCGCGATTTTCTCTGTAGAGATGGAACTTTGCAAAGTGGAGAAGAGATACAGGTTAAATCCAGATCCACCGGACGTACCTTTGGAAACGGAACTGGCAGTCGAATCTGTGTTACCGATACCGCGCGATCATCCAGACGTGCTGCTCCATACGCCAGATTTCGAACCAAAAGTTGGCTTTCTCAGGACCATAGGCCTCGACGTAATGCCTCCTAGTAGAAGAGACGGTACGTTATTCGTTCTTTCGATCTGCGTTGACTTAATTTTCCCTGGTCCGTGATATTAAACTTATATATTTTCTTATACAATTACAGAGGCGGAGGTAACGTGGCAGTATGTTCTTCAAGATCGTAAGAAACGAAAAAGCATGAATTCCGTGACGGCGTATTGCGATAGAATTGCCAAGGTGTACTCGAAAAATCCACCAACGTTACCGAAACCACCGCATAAGATGAGGCTTTTAGATAGAGTAAAAGTGAAGCACGTTCCGGAACGACCACCGCCTCTACCGCCTTTGGTTCCGAACATCGTCCCTATGGGTTATCCCGCTTTGCCTATGCCCGGTGAGAATGGAGTGAAGCAACATTGCAAGGTCATAGACATGAAGCTTGCGGATGATACCATGGACGATAACATCAGTGGGAAGAAAGAAAGACCTAATAAGTGGACTGGAATCGAGGACATCATGTTAGCGTACAAAGAGTATTCCAAAGGTACGAGACTCGAGAGTCTTCCATTTTTACGTGAACCTGCTCATGAACGATCGATTTTCATTTCTGTCGTTTTCTATTCCAGAGAAGGCATTGGAGAAGAAAGTTTTGACGAGCGAAACATCAAAACTGGTGGCACAGTCGAACAATTTACGGTCCGAAACTATTCAGCTAGAGCGACGGATATACGAGCTGTTGTCCGCTAGAACGGCTCTCGATTCGGAGAGGCGTGTGCTCAGTGAGAAAATTGAAAGGATCAACACACTTGTTAGGAATCTTAGGTAGCGACGCGTAACGCACAACACGGAAACTCATTCATCTGTGATATTATCAAAGGGTTAAGGGTCGTTAACTTGCAGAACCAAATAATAAAAGAAAAAACCTAATAGAATACTTAAGTAGGCGTACGATTCAGAAAGGGAAAAAGTTCTATCGACCAAATGTACAACAGCCTTTATGTATTGTTTTGCAACAATGCGCGTTATGCAACAACGTTATACAAATGCGAAGAAACTCAATAGCAGCAACCGAAGAGACGTCATCGTTAGTCCAGCCATATCAGAGCAGTACGCGTATAAGATTAATTGTATAAAACGAAAAAATTATACCGAAACGTGTATGCACTTCTTAGCCGATGGCCGAAGTGGTTAATAAAGATTTTATAGTTTCTAGTAACGGCTCTTAACCCCTCGACTATAAATAATTGTAATTTGTATCATAATATTTTAATGAAAAAAATAGACAAATCGTATAACTTATTTTATTCTGCGTAATGTGGACTCTATGTCAGATAATAACTTGAAACGATATGATATGTCAGAATTTGTATATGAGTCGATCGTTAATATTAACCGAAAATATAAAAGAGAGGAGAGGGAGAGAGAGAGAGCGCGAGAGAGAGAGAGCGAAAGGGAGAGAGAGAAAGAAGAGAGAAAGTGAGAGAGAGAGAGAGAGAAAACAGAAGAATCGACGTTCATCGAATCGGTACAATGATAATCGGAAAAGTAAACTCGATTATGGAGACTATCACTTTCTTTTTCAATTTGCATCGTAAACGATAGTGTGTACACGAGCTCTGTGTTGATAAAAATTTTCAAACACATCTTGAAACAAAACGACAGACTACGGTTACGATGAATCGGGATACAAAACAAAACGTAACGAAAGAAGAAAAGATCGAAATCTTAGAATTATATTATTTTTAACTTAAAAGATGTTTCAAGATAGAAGTAACTCTAGTCTACGGACATTCGTAGCATACAGGAAAATCACGTCTGATTCCGAGAAATCAGAATAGTGACCGATCCTACCTTTCGATGTCCACTGTTCACAACAATGAACGCAAAGGCCAGTGAATACAAGAAAAATTAATGTAACAACAGCAGTGAGGTACTTATTATAGGTAAAGTGACTTAATTTAAATGCAAATGTGAGACATCGCGCGACCACATTCCACATGAAAATATGCTTGTTACCCGACCTCCAACATTCCACGTTCGTACGGTAAAAACAATCGGATCGCAAAAAAAGGCGAAAATAAAACTCATTTTGTTAAGAAAATTTTTTGCTTTTTTACGTTCAACTAGATCGACGCTACTCTAATTTGTGGTATCCTTGTACTTGTATCTCACTCTGCTCTCTGAGTGCATCGTTCAACTAATACGTCATACGTAACAACTCCAGTATGTATAATACGAAAACCATTTATAATTTCATCGTTTTGTTCATTGAGTGCCTAACGTTATCCTACATTTGTAAATATCATTATTTTTATGTATTGTATAACAAAATAAGACCACAAAGTATTTGTCGGTCTCGATCTGGCCAAAACAAAAGCCTAGAAGTAAATTGTTGAAAATATGAATTTCCCGAGTATAATTATTTTATCCTACCTAATACAAAATGCGCGACGAACCGTTTACTGATCTTTCAACGTTTCTTGTTTATTGAAGCCAATTCAAAATTTATTTTTTGCCGTATCAACTGCCATCTGTCGAGACGCGTTCGCTTCTACAGGATGTACGACTAGGAACAATTGTCACTAACCTTTGTCGATGTTCCCGCCAGGTCCGTTACATTTTACAAAAAGAAAACGCGAACAAATAAAAAGTAAGAAAGTAATTTATAAATTTTGTTACGTAAGAAAAATAATATTCGGATATAAACTAATTCTATGCATTAATTTATATTGTAAAGGGAAAATAAAACGATATTATTGAATAATTACCGGTTTTAAATAGGGATTTTGATGCTGCGATGGGGGCGCCACTATTCCTGGTGAGACGGTTATAGCGTTCCCGCGCAAACGAGCGCCGACCTAACTGCCGCCGCCAAAATATCTGACGTACATACGCATAACCGTCGCTGAGTTAGGTAGAGGTTCATTCGCTGCTTGGTATTCCGAGGAGGAGCATCTTGTGTTAAATTCGAGGAAAGTTTCAAATAATTACTACAAAAGATGTCTGGCCGTGGCAAAGGTGGTAAGTATTGTATCCGTTTTACGATAATTCGATGCTGTTAATTATGGAGATACTGGAAAACCGTTTATTTGTACGCTTGCAGGAAAGACTAAGGGAAAGGCAAAGACCCGCAGTAGTAGGGCAGGGCTGCAGTTTCCCGTTGGAAGAATCCATCGTCTTTTGAGAAAAGGAAATTATGCAGAACGAGTTGGAGCTGGAGCTCCAGTTTATTTAGCCGCTGTAATGGAGTATTTGGCGGCTGAAGTACTCGAGTTAGCCGGAAACGCCGCAAGAGACAACAAGAAGACGAGGTTGGTAGAGCAAGCCCTTCCTTTCTCTTCCTGTCTTTCACTCTCTCCCTCCTTTTCTATTTCTCTACTTGTATCATCTCCTTTTCCTATTATTTCGAAAACAATGAAATTTATCGATATTTTAACGTACTTAAGTCTTTTATTTTTATGTTGTTTATATTTACAATTCTGTATACGTACATATTTTTATAATAATTATTGCCCTAAATTGTATTTAAGTAATAAAATTTTACAACATCTTTACACAGCTGAATAAATTTAATATTGATTAGATGTATTTGTATACAATCACTGTTAAGAAATGACCTTCAGGTACAATATAGCAGGAATAACTATATAACACATGGACTGGTTTTTGATGTTTCAGGATAATTCCACGTCATTTGCAGCTAGCTATCCGCAATGACGAAGAATTAAACAAATTATTGTCAGGTGTAACTATCGCTCAAGGTGGTGTTCTGCCTAACATCCAAGCAGTTCTTTTGCCAAAGAAAACTGGTACTGGTGGATCTGGTAAAGGCGACAAGGCATCCCAGGAATATTAATAACCTTTAGAATAACCTTTCTAACTTAACAATACTTTAGGACCCATGACTTTGTTTCTTTCATCAGAAATATGCAACTATTCCAACAATATACATTGTAGAATTATCTTAGTTAACAGTGCGATATTCTGTTTCATTACTAAATTTTCTTTTAGTAAATGTGTAGTATATTGCATTATTAGTTAAGGTAAAAGATTTGATATTTTTTATTTTCTATTATTTAAGTTTGTATTTTTATTAATATACTCATTTTGTTTGATTCACACGAATTTTGCATAAAATTGACAATGGTATTATATAACATATAAGGATGAGCGAAAATTACAATGGTATAAATGATTTTGTGACTGTAAACACTATTTAGAATGGAAATAAATCATACTTACTCTTCAATTTTGATTACTTGTTTGGAAATCTTTATTACCTTTATGTTTGAACCGAATTTTTTTTTTAAGTTTTTAAAAAAATATATTTATACGTATATATAACCCTAACGATTACAATTTCAAAATTTGCTTGAAAGATACTTCCGGTATAGCAACAAACACTAGCAAGGTTTTGTAATATACACGTCGATATAGGTAGCGCGTCGTTCGAGGGTGACGTTAAGTTTTTGACTGCTTGGGTATCAAATATTATTTTATCAGTGAAAAGTATTTAATATACTACAGTTTGGAAAATTCATTTTAACATGTCGTCGAGTGATATAAATATGTTGGTCGATATGGGTTTTAGCATGTCTAAAGCGTAAGGACTCCTGATAATGATGGTTAACTAGTATATCTAACCTTTAATATTTTAATCTGCACTTTATTTTAGGGAAAAAGCTTTAGAAATCACTGGAAACAAAGGCGTTGTTCCAGCAATGGAATGGTACGAGAAAGGCTGCGGCTTCATTCTCGTCGTCCGATGACGATCTTAATTTTTATTTTAGGCTCTTGGCTCATTCAGATGATGCAGAACCATCATCTGAACCACCTATTGCTGAAAGCGCACCACCGTCAATTGATCATACACCAGTTCAAGATGACACTGCTAATTCTAGCGGTCAAGTATCTACCACAGAAGTGGCTAAATCTATGAAATGCGACGTGTAAGTGTATCGTGTCCACATTAATTTATTCTTGTATAATATTACAATAAACATTGTCGAATGAACACATACAGATGTGGGAAATTGTTCAAGTCCAATTTGGAAGTCGAATTTCATGCGACAAAATCTGGACACAATACATTTTCCGAAAGCACAGAGGAGAAAAAGCCCCTTTCGGACGAGGAAAAGAGAGAACAACTACGAATATTGACAGAAAAGTTAAAGCAGAAGAACAAAGAACGGGAAGAACAAGAAAAGAGAGATGCACAAGAAAGAGAAAAAAATAGAATACGTTCTGGAAAGGAAATGGCTCAAGCTAAAAGAAAGTAAGTTGTATTCAAGAAGCAAGGATTGGATATGTTATACTGATATTTATGTATTTGAATCGTAGGTTAGAGGAGTTAGAAATGAAAAAGCTTTTAGAAGAAAGAAAACGTGAAAAAGAGGAGGAGAGATTAGCACGGCAAAGGGTAAAAGAACAAATTGAAGCCGATAAAGCTGCCAGACGGGCTAAAGCAAATGTTGAACAAGTACCTAAGGAACCTCCTTCTGTGCCTTCATCCTCTACAACTCTTCATAGGAAAGAATATAATGAAACAAAATTGCAGGTAACACATTATATTTCCATATACATATTTATCACGTTACTTTTTTGAATGGATCACTGAAATACGATATTCAACAATTTAGATTAGACTGACTAATGGGCAAACATTAACGCAAAGCTTTGGAAGTAAAGAACAATTATCTGCTGTAAGATTGTTTATTGAAATTAATAGGACAGATGCACCTGGTCCATTTAATTTAATGACAAATTTCCCAAAGAAAATTTTTACAGAAGATGATTATGATACTCCATTGGACGTGTTAGGTACGTGAAACTTTGTTATGATTCAACACTGCATTTTGCATTGGAATGGTCTGAGTCAGCTATTGTAAATCTAATTGTTTGATTGTTATGACTATACTTTCAGGCTTAGTACCATCTGCAGTTGTAATTGTGCAGAAGAAAGCAGAGTGAACATCATGAATATCAGCTTGCAATGCAATCAGTAACATGATTTGTAAGCTAATGTACCAATTTATAATGTCTTACAGATTCTTTATAAAGAAAACAGAATTTTAAGTATTTCTTCATTTGTAATTTACAAGAGGTACACGTTTCTATGATATTTGTTATTTAACTATAGTATAATTTGCAAACACGAAGGGAAAAGAAAAATATACAGTTAAAAGTAATTGCAGTTTGTTTTTAATTTTCAACATTACATCGTCTTCTTTTATTCGTCGCGTGTCTCATAATTTCGTCTGTATTTTATTTACACAGTGTTTTTTTTTATATATCAATTACACTTGTATCGCGTTATATCGATGTGGTACTTCACCGGGATATATTACCTTTAAAGAAGTATCGCAGTCCGTAGGATACTCGTAGATACCGTCACAATCAACTAGTTGTAGCATCTTGTCGAAACATATTCGTATCTCAAATATGTACGATTCACCCGTAGTCTGCAACGTACGTAATATTCGATTAAATACTAATCGATCAGATACCAATCGATTTGATGTGATTAGATATCAAAGTACTTACTTTGTTCTTCCGACACATTATCGCGGCTCGTTTACCTAAAATTTTTTCAATAGCATTGCGAATATTTTCTATAGAGTATGCTTCTCCAAGTAGAATATTCGATTTTGCCAATACGTCCTTCATATCGTATTTCGCTAATAAATTAAGACCTTTTTTGAAGTATTTAAATTCGGTATTTAACTCTTCTATTACAATCGCGCAAGTTCCATGTTTATTCCATTCGTGTTGCCAGAGCGAGGAAGACTCCCTTCCGTATTCTATATCTATCCATTTTTCTTGGAGTTGCGATTCCAACGGTTTCAACGCGGTCATGTTAAACGATAAAGACTTGTTGCAAAACTGTGGCCCCATTTTGTGCAATTGAGAAGGCCAAATACCGTGAATAGTCCACTCATCCTTCTCCTTTGGAAACGAACAGGTATGTGATGCGGAACTCTCTTTCCACGTGTAACAAACGGTCGGTGGCCAACGTTGAGTGAAAATTAAGACATCGAAATCGGTCGACCCCGATGAAGGGTGTTTCTTGTAAATCGTATTACTAAAAAGGGTTTTACAAGAGCAATGCGAAAATTGCAAAATATGCAATAGACAAAAGAACACAGTACATTTTAAAAATAGACTTATCACTTACCCATTCACTGTAGTTAGGAGAATGATACAGAAAATGTTAAAAACCATTTTAATATTAAACATTTTTGTAACAATTCAAATTACTTTAGATAAAGAAAACGTGAGGCAACGCGTGTACGCGCACGTGCTGCAGCTGCAGATCTTTTGAGCAGTGATCTGTACCGTCGCTATCTTTTATGAGTTAAACCCCACCGCATTATTTGCTGCCTACGTAGCAGATGGTCAAGCACCTGATCGTTTCAGCTTTTGTAGCGTGTATAATACGGTCGACTGGGAACTGTTCTATCAACATAGATCTTAGTAGCCTAGCTTGTAGCATGAAACGAAGAAAGGTAGGTAAAAATTACGTTCATCTCTAGAATACTTTTATTTATAAAAATTTATTATTTGTAATATAAAATGCTCTGTTATATGTACTTAACAATAAAGACAATGATTTGTAATGGTTTTAATGATACGAATATTTTAATAAATGATATTTTTACTCATAGCTGGCATTTTTTGAGTATATATATAGTTATGTGCCCTCGTGAGTTAAATTTACACGTGACTGCTTCAACATCTGGTACGTGTAAAGTATATTATATAACTATAATTATTAAAGTAATTTTGCTTAATAAATACATAATATTCTGTTACATGGATTTTATGAAAATCAATAATAATATAAGAAAGAATTTACTTAATATAGACATTTATTTACTTCAGCAATTAAGTTTTAATTATTCTCCTACTCCTATCTGTATGCAACCCAATTTGCACGCGTACAAAATTTCTGACATCTGATTATCGATATGATAATCATAATTTCAATCGTTATCACAAAATTAAAGGCATGAAACTTATACGGTATCCACTTGAACGATAATTTAACAACTGATATAATTTGAAAAAGGAATTTCCTACATCGATAAATGATAAAATTTCGGTAAATTATTTAGAATAACAAGTTGGGTGATTTCTGTGTCGTTCCCTGTATCATCGACGAGATACACTATAACGTACAAATTGTTTTGAACATATAATTCGTAACTTTGGACCTATAGAATATATTCCAATTAGCGTAGTATCGATATTAATAAATATATAGCCTATTAATCAATAAAATCAATAATAATTAAATTAAAAAAAAAATAATTGAACAAGTGGCGCCATCTCTCCGGCGAACGGGGTGAACTACACACTTTTGAAACTCTAGTTTCATTAGTTCCTCGCGCTGCCGCTAGAGGCGCCACGTGTATCGTTTCGATAGAATTCAATTACTCTAGTTGATTCTATTAGCTTAATTTACTGTAATATGAGTCGAAACACAATAAAGTCCAAAACTAATTAATTGTAAATTGTTTTGACTACCAAATTATTATCAATTCTCGGTCTAATCCTAATTAGCCTAAGAGTTCCTATCCCATGTGCCGCCATCTAGCGGTAGAAAATTGGAACTAATAAAAGCGTGCTGAAAATACGGTTAGTTCAGGTAGAATTCCGAAGAGATGGCGCTAGTAGTACTACAAAAAAATAGATTTTATAAAAAATTGCAATTTTTACTGATAACATGTTCCACGATAAGAATATTGATAAACAGAGATGCAATGTACACACAATGTTTAGCTATGCAATAATTGCTTTAAATGCTGACACATTTATTTCCGCATTTTAATTAGACACTGATATTACAAAATACGCACTATGATCTATAAAATATAAAAAACCGCGTTATGAAACTTAATCTTATAACCTTTAGTGATATCATTAATATTTTATGATATTCAGACGTTGATCGTACAAAGACGATCTCAAGACAACGTTGACGATTATTTCTCATTTCATAAATGATAAATACACCCTAACCATCAGGTAGATCACTACATCCTCATACTTAAAAAATAATGAATTTTCCGACATTTCAAATGTCTCCGTTTGAAAGTAATTATTTGGCTTCCTATCACAATCAACGAACGAAAAATTGTTCCTTTCTTTCCAGTTAATATTTTGTACATATTCGTTGCGAGAAGAGACTAGTTTCTTCAAGTAGCTATATTAAAATGACTCTTTATCAATCTCCCGATAAGATGAAGCGCTTGGAATGTTTTGTTCGGTCTAAGCCTTTGTCTTAATAAGTAGTAAGTAGTGATCTTTAGGAAAACGAGAATGATTATCAGGGCAAGAAAGTCTATCCAAAATACCGCGTGCTTCATTTCTGAAATGAGAACTCAGATTATTACTTCTATATTTGTTAAATTCACTCTGATCATCTTAATAGTAAAACTTACGCATAGTTTGTAAAAGTACTGGAGGTGCACCGAATTCGCATAATATTTCTGTCGGTGGACAATATAATGTTCCACGGTTGAAACCGTACAAAGCGGTTATAAGTCCTTCCAGGCCGTACCGAATGTAGCTGAGATACATTATTAGTTTACGATAAATAGGCAGATCTTGTGTTTCGCCCAGTCCTTGTACCGCGACTAGCATCAGAGGAACGGTGATCGCAGGTCCAACGAACGTACCGTTCTAAAAAGCAAATTCATTTCGAAACAAATATGTAACACAATATATGTCTATTACTTACCACTATATTTAACGTGCTGGCTATAGCCAGTGCCATACTTTCGGCTATGAACACGCACAACAGGCATACGCTAAAAAACATTGTGAATCGGAAGAGCTCCATAGGTTGCCCCGTGATTACGTATACCATCAATAGATATATCGACGATACGATTACCTGTAAAATTCGATTAATGAAACGACTTTGGTTGAAACGTGATAAATTTTATAAGAAATTCACCTGCAGAGGTATGTTGACCACAGTGAAAGCGCAATAATACGGACTCAAGTCGTACCACAAGTTAAAATATTCTCGTTTAATAAGTTGAACTTCCGAAGGAACTGCAATTTTAAGATTAATCAGAAAAAGAGGCCGAGTCACGGAGAATGATAATCAAAGTCAGTAAGAAAGCGGAGGAAAATCGAGGATATTACCGCCTGATGCTTTCGCTTAAAAATCGAATTGTTCTCGAAAATGAATCATCGATTCTCCTCGCATAATCGTTGATGTCTTACAGTGCATTAATACCGGTAACATAGGCACGTAGAGGAAAACTATTAAACAAGCGAAGCAAAAACCAAAATTGAACAAGGTCTTCGTCCCATCGTTTCCGACGTCCAGAAACAACCCTCCGATGATGAAGCCGAGGAATATATGTAACCCGATTTTTAGATACACGTAGTTCTGCAAAGCGTTAACTTGTCCGTTAAAATACTCGACGAAACACTTGATCCATCAATGTCCGATATTTCGTACCTTATTTCTGTACAGCTGTAACAACATCCTCCTCGAGAGAGTAGTGAATTGATCGAACCAGGGAATCTTCGACATTCGTTTCATCGGGTACGTCGTTGCTGGCCGGGAAATAGGGTCAATAGGCATTTCCGTGTCCACGAAACTCACCATTCGAGTTATCCATTCTGCACCGTATTCACCGGCAGACATTTCAATCACTGCAACGATAACATTTATGCATTTGTCGCGTCGTTTACTCGGTCACGTTTACTCACCGAAATCGGCAGGGTTATAGTGCTTCGGACACTCCAAACCAACTTGCTGAAGAAACGGTAGCAAATTCTGTACGGAGTTCCTGTAAGCGCATTGACCGCTGGCTACAATGTAAATATGATCGAACTTCGCGAAAATACTCGCGCTCGGTGTGTGAAGGGAGCAAATTACGGTTCTTCCCAATCGCGCCAAACGTTCCAGTAGATCGATACACTGGGTCGCAGAAATCTCGTCCAATCCTCTGGAATCGATATTTAAAATCGTAGCGGAAGTTATTTCGTTAATCGTTCGAAGTACTTACGATTGATTGATTGATCACTGTTGTGGGCGTCGACTACTATGGTCATTAGCCCGAAAGTACTTACGAGGTTGGTTCGTCGAGGAATATGACCGGAGGATTGTTCGTGAGTTCCAACGCGATGGAAAGCCTTTTCCTCTCGCCACCCGATAACCTTTCGGCAATCGTGTCTTTCGCACGGGTTAGTCGTAGGATGTCCAAAATTTCTTCGATCTAAAATTATGCACAGCACGGTATCCAGAAAATCTGAAAGTCACGTTGGTAATCGTCGTGTCCGCTCGGGGACCGACTGAAATTTAAATGAATTGTGTTTCTATCGTGTAACGCTTCCCGGGAACACGAAGAATGACTCGCGGCCCGAGTATTCTCAGAATACACCTACACACGCGTTGCAAACAACAGCATTCTTCTTGAATGATCACCATAAGAATTACTCGAAGAACGCGGGAAATAATTCATACTACTCGTTGCAGCAAAGCGTTGGATCTCCGATGTTTCTAAAACTTACAGCGGTCAGTTTCGTTTCTTTGGGGACATTTCCAAGTTTCAGGTCCACTGCAAATTGCATCGCCTCGTATACCGTGAGTCTCGGTTGAATGAGGTCCTCTTGCATAATGTAGCATGATATTTTCTTAAAAGACTCCACGTCCCGTGCATCTCCATTGATGCTAACGTGTCCCGCGGCCCCGGTTACTCTGTAACGATAATTATCGTTGATCTTGAAAACGAACAGCGAGAGAAAGTATTCGGTGAAAAAACGCGATCGTCGTGAAAGAGTCTCGATGTCTCCGACACGCGAACCGAGTTAGTTTATCGATCGACACGTTAGAATTCGTGTTAACTCTGTCTAGGCTCACGCTACTTGCTTATCCCAGGTCGCGAGGTCACTGATCTTTGACAGCACTGATCCTTGGTCACTCTTTAGTCAAACTTACGGTTATTTTTGAGCTTGTTTCTTCGATCGCAATAAAATGAATTATTAATTTGCATTAGCTTTATCGTTAACTCCCATATTTTCTACTTAAATGCAGACATTTCGTGTTCGATTTTTTCAAATTTCTTTCGCACTAGGTTACACGAAACTTTACCTGTATCCTGCGAGGATGTTGAGCAAGGTAGACTTTCCAGCGCCCGAAGGACCCAGGATCGCCGTCAATTCTCCGGACTTGAATTGCCCGCAAATTCCCCTCAACCCGAAAGTACTTACGAGGTTGGTTCGTCGAGGAATATGACCGGAGGATTGTTCGTGAGTTCCAACGCGATGGAAAGCCTTTTCCTCTCGCCACCCGATAACCTTTCGGCAATCGTGTCTTTCGCACGGGTTAGTCGTAGGATGTCCAAAATTTCTTCGATCTAAAATTATGCACAGCACGGTATCCAGAAAATCTGAAAGTCACGTTGGTAATCGTCGTGTCCGCTCGGGGACCGACTGAAATTTAAATGAATTGTGTTTCTATCGTGTAACGCTTCCCGGGAACACGAAGAATGACTCGCGGCCCGAGTATTCTCAGAATACACCTACACACGCGTTGCAAACAACAGCATTCTTCTTGAATGATCACCATAAGAATTACTCGAAGAACGCGGGAAATAATTCATACTACTCGTTGCAGCAAAGCGTTGGATCTCCGATGTTTCTAAAACTTACAGCGGTCAGTTTCGTTTCTTTGGGGACATTTCCAAGTTTCAGGTCCACTGCAAATTGCATCGCCTCGTATACCGTGAGTCTCGGTTGAATGAGGTCCTCTTGCATAATGTAGCATGATATTTTCTTAAAAGACTCCACGTCCCGTGCATCTCCATTGATGCTAACGTGTCCCGCGGCCCCGGTTACTCTGTAACGATAATTATCGTTGATCTTGAAAACGAACAGCGAGAGAAAGTATTCGGTGAAAAAACGCGATCGTCGTGAAAGAGTCTCGATGTCTCCGACACGCGAACCGAGTTAGTTTATCGATCGACACGTTAGAATTCGTGTTAACTCTGTCTAGGCTCACGCTACTTGCTTATCCCAGGTCGCGAGGTCACTGATCTTTGACAGCACTGATCCTTGGTCACTCTTTAGTCAAACTTACGGTTATTTTTGAGCTTGTTTCTTCGATCGCAATAAAATGAATTATTAATTTGCATTAGCTTTATCGTTAACTCCCATATTTTCTACTTAAATGCAGACATTTCGTGTTCGATTTTTTCAAATTTCTTTCGCACTAGGTTACACGAAACTTTACCTGTATCCTGCGAGGATGTTGAGCAAGGTAGACTTTCCAGCGCCCGAAGGACCCAGGATCGCCGTCAATTCTCCGGACTTGAATTGCCCGCAAATTCCCCTCAAAATCACCTTCGAACCTAGCGAAATAAAATAAGCATAACTAACTTCCACGCGTTAAAAAATACGATACTCACGAAATTGTCGAGTTTATCGAATTAAGCATGAACTTAAAAATAATATTTGGAAGTGAAACGTGACACAGCGTTACGCGTGTATTTATTATGCAGCCTTCCGAATAATTTTATCGTCGTTCTTCGAGGTAATCGCGTCGTTAACATACGTTAAATATTTAATATTTTCGAGACGCGTTTAAATATGAACGACAATTAGAGACTTTTTTTGTCACAAGGGGAAAAAAGTGGTTACATTAGGACAATAATTTATATTCAAGTGACGCGTTAAATACGTGTTCAAGATCATTTTTAACAACTATGCTATACTTTGATTAATCTTGAAGACGTTTAGTTCTACTTACCTGACTCACTCTTAAAAATGTGCATTTAAACGAAGAAATTTTTATTTGCTGCACGTTATCTTTATTATATTATCTTAGCATGTCATTACGCGGTTGTTGACACCGACGAACGATATACGGGTATTACAGACACGAATATCGTAATAATCTGTCACACATAATTTATGACATTTCTCATAAAAAGACATGCTACTGACTTTCATCGTTTGAAAGTAACATTTTTTATTAGTATTTGACGAGTAACCAGGACAAAACGTTTTTGTTACCCCCCAGGCAGAAAATAAAAGATCCGTCACGATCTTCCAGTTATCTGAGGAGAAAGGTGGAGATCATTACAGCAGAAACATAGAAAGCGAAACACTGAGAATCGTAACGACACCCAAACGTTTGTAGCCATAGAAGTAGAAAAGTGTTAGCGAGTTATTCCATAATTCCTTGAAGATTCCAATGAGATCATTTCCCTAAAACGACACTTGTATGATTTAAGAAATCCTCAGTTTTTCTTCCTTTTTTCTATTGTCAAATTCTGTTTTCGAAACAATGTTACAATTTAGGGAATCTGACAATCTAGAAGTATTAGAACTTGTGCAATTCGTGAAATCGTTTGAGTTTCGCGGTTGAAACTTTCATTTTCGCCTTTCAACAAGAATAGTCAGTGTTCTATATTTACATGTTCGAAGGCAAACAAGTGGGTGGATTTCGTATTACGGATAGTTTGTCTTAATTTCAATGCACCGGCACGATTCTCTTTTGAACCTTCTCCGTTCGGTGCATTGAGCAACTCGTGCAAGAGTTGAATCGAAAGTAGTCAAAAACTATCGTTTCCGAAATCTTTCTCGGTCAAAGTGTGTTCGTACCTGATTGAACACGGAGTTAATCAGCGTTAATTTACATCTTGCTATTCTATTTTGTTACGTAAAGGATAATACGCAATTAAAAACATTGTACGACAGTGTAATTTGTAGCATATAGACTATGCTCTGCTTCGATAAATACAAACTACTTATCAGATTATTGGGTGGAAAAAATTGATTTGTAATTCATCAAAGGATTAGCCGGGGCTATAAATTATGCAATATCTGCAAAATGATAAAATCCCTGGCAAAAAAAATGTTGAATAATACGGTATTAAGGAGAACTTTATAACTTACGCGTACTTCGTGCATTATGCAATCTAAATAAGATATAAACTAGTTGCATCAATAATCTAAATTATAATCTCAAAAAATATTGCGTCTTTCTAAAGTTTTGACTAACAGTGTTTACAACAATTTAGAACGTGTTATGATTGTTTCAAGATTTCTTATACAGTGATATTAATTAATATACAATGTTTTGTGTTCTTGATAGCGCGATCAGCTGACGATCTTCCTACGAACTTTAACGTGACCTCTTCGGATTAATTGAAACATAGAATGCAACATCATTTTTTGCCTTTACGGATAAGTTGCTCTCATCGATTAAATAATTTATTATTTAGAATGTACGATAGTCGAGTAATTCATTTAAGGCGTCTTCCGTTTTGTTAGAGTGTACAGAAAGAAGAAATTTTGCATCGTACCTCTTGGTCCGTAAGGTATCGTGTAAGTCAGGTCATTGAATTCGATGTCGATAGGTGGTAATTTCCTAAGATGCGACAAAGACACGTTCTGCGTAGCAGCGTGCTTCAAGCACTCGCGTGTCCCTTCGTTGCTTTGCTCTGCCTTGAACTCCGATTCTACGGGCATGGTTGATCTCCGCGTTATTTCCAAAAGCTTTACGTTCTCTTCGCTAAAGCCATTTACTCTTAATGTTTTTTTCGTTCCTCGAATTTACCGCACTGAAAATACACCCCCATCGACAGATTAATAATTCGTTTACACGACAATTAACGAGTTGTTCGAGTATTTTCGTCACCGTTCAAATTAAACTATTGTTTAGATAATTACTTACGACGAAATCGGCGAACTTCGAATATTACGCGCAATTTGTACTTATCAAACTATGGAACAACGCTAAGAGCCAGCGTTCAACCGCGTATAAATCGTTAATTGTTCATGAAACGTTGATAATTTTGTAAAGGAAGAGCGACTTTAGCGGATAAAAGACATGGGAAGCACACGAAAGCTCAGCACACGACAAATCGCGGTAGAAGACTGATGTTGAAGCAGCTTTAACCAAGTCCCTATTGCCAACGATGCTATAGTGTGCGTTTGTGTGTTTCTTGTGTCTGTGTTGGCCGCTTACCCGTGCTTTATATACAACATAACCGTGCATCGTTGCATTCATAGATAGATTACGCGTATCGTATCGACACGTGGTACTATCTCTGTGATACGAGTAAATTTAAACTAATTCTACATTTCCATTTTCATCAAAAAAGTTTATACGTTTATGAAGCGAGAAATCCGGTTGAAAATTTGTAACCCTTTTTTTCGTACCAGGAACAATAGAATTATGAACTGACAAGAGTTTAGTGCAATGGAAATTGGAAAAGTTAATATTTGTCAAGAACCATCGATCCACTTTCATGCTTATCGATTTATATTTCATTGAACATTCTGATTAAAAACAATCCCATCACTCTTCTTTTTTATGTTTTATTCAATAAGTTACATAACGAAATTGTGCAAGGAAAATCTTTATGTAATTGAAGAAGTAATTCGAACATTCAAATTACATCTTTATGTAATTAAAGAAGTAATTTGAACATTCAAATTACATCTTTATGCAATTAAAGAAGTAATTTGAACATTCAAATTACAATTTTTCAAATGTAATAATTATTTGCGATTTATAAATGTTAAGGGGTTTCATTTTACCGAATAAAAAGTTTCCTTTGTTCGCTCAATTAACAATGTATGGAAATTTTTGTTCAAGATTTTAAAATTGCTGTGATTCATGCATAATGTACATAACCACATGATCGTGATACCATTATAAATCGTGACAATAAACTACAATAGAAGAAAAAAGCCTTACTTTGTTGTCAAAGCAGAATAATGAACTTATTTCTAGTGAATCACAAAATTTGCACACTTTGTCGTTGGAGCGATAACTGCCCTTTGTTCAAAGTACGGTCATCCAATTTATTGTTTGATTTTAGTTAAGTTTTGCCGAATAAAGCTAATATTTTCGTCTGGGAGCTTTAAAAATTCGTACCTATTAATGATTCGGTTTCCAGAATAAAAATTCTGTTTTCAAGTTTATTGTTTTGATCGCAACATTCGAAACACGGAAACATTAAGAAATTATTCGGTCCCAACCAGTTTAGAGTGCAACAGATTAAAATTATCCTCCACTTGTAGAATCCAATGCTCAACAATTATTAAGAGGATTTCTTATTTTTCCAAATGTGACTTTGAGCAAACTCGCGATAAAAAAGCTGCTCATAAAAATACTTACAGCCTATCGTATAGATGTCATTGTTCAGACGTTCGTGCGAAGCGTAGACTAAACCAATTTAAATTGTCCGATAAGATTAATAGCTTTTAACGTCGTACAAAATATAATCAATACATGGAAACATCCTTTGTGTAGTGTCTAACACATTGTTTACAGTAGAATTTGTTTTTCGTAACAAAAAGTTACACAGACGAGAAGTAAGATGTTTCTGAAACTTTCAGACGAAGTCAAAAAGTCTACAAAAGGTGCAAATTAGACACTCACCGAACGAATAACAAGGCCCGACTGGTCGAGCCAATTTTGTTCACTCCGAACTGAAACAACTGCGTGTTATAATTCCTTAGAAAACTTGTATACGTACACGCATGCTCTGACTTGTACATTATACGGAGATGTTTCATCGAGGCTGTTTTACTGCGTCGAGTTTCCTTCGCGAGGAAAAGATTATGACTCTTTTCTGTATTGCATTGTTCTGGCATGTATGATGGATTCCCACAAAACTTGTTATTACCGCTGCGCGCAAGCCGACTATTTATATCGTTTACAGCTGTTTCAGTTTGCCTCTACAGTCTTTCCTGGCTACAACAATGTTGTACACAATTTACGATATCTTTTTTAACTTCCGCAGAATCTCAAGCGTGACGCGGCTGACATTTCGTGTTTCAATTGCAATCCTACATTCGACGAAACATTAGTTATAATTTTACTTTTAAGGACGTTATGTTTGTACGCGATGTGTTATTCACTGCAATTAATTAAATGAGACATTTTATTTTTAACATCCTTCAAATAATAACTTTTGACAACCGTGTCATACGTAGCCCACAAAAAGTTAAAGATAAAAGCGTAAAAGCACATGCTGAGAAGAGCACAGGAGTGAATGCACGCTCCAAACATTGCGATAGCTACCCAACATTGTTTAGTCCACTTGTTAAACCAGGAAGAGAGGACAATAGAAAAAATTAGATGCATAATGCTGTCGGCATAAAACACCGGGCACGTTGAACTTTCGCGGTAGCGAGAAAAACGATAAATATACAGTTTGCTGTAGGTTCCCTTTAGTTAACAATAGGAACAAGTGTACGGTAAAGAACTTTACGAGTTACAGAATTACTGTTCCGCGAGAACAGAGTTTATAGCTGAGGGGATGCTTAGGAAAAAGTTTACGGTTAAAAGTTTCAATCGCTATACCTTTTATGTATCAGACAGTAATTGAAGCAACAAACGTATTACGAAAAGCATATTCTTTTATTCGTAATAAACATACGCTATATAAAATACAACGAAGATTATGCTAATTCAGCATAAGCGCGTGCATTTACATGCACGATATTATTTTACAAAAGTATACATATATGCATGTATGTAGACTGATCGTAATCGATCACGCTAACGTTTTAAATATAAACATGTATAATTTATACCATTTGTGTAAATAGATACAAAGGTTTTCCCGTTAAAGTACATTTGTCAAGTCAATGAATACCTTTAAGATAAGACGCGATAAAACACATCCGTTTCCTCTTTTTTTTTTTGATTTCTCGAATATTATATTCCTAACAATGATTAAAATTTAAAGAAACGATCGTAAATCGACGATAAGTTGTTGAAATTTTAAAGCTTTCTTTTACACACTATCTCTACCCGTACCTTTTCAATGCGATTTATAGTTTCATGAAAGTAAATCCGCTTAAAATATATATAAATCGTAAAATATAATACACACTTTATTTATAAGAGACATGTTAATTGAAAGAGTTACGATAAATGTAATGATTTTTAGTCGATTCTCTATAAAGTATATAAGTCCCCGTGTATGCGACGATATGAAATTGATAAATGTTATTTTATGATGCTTTTTAAAAACTTACTATGCGATACACTGAGTAAACCTGGCAAGATAATCGTTATTTCCAACGTTGTTCTTAATCAATAAGAAAATAACGTATCGCTTTAACTTAACAACCCACTTTTCGCTTTTCTGTAACTTGTCTACATCGTCAAACTCACAGCCATAGGTGGATAAAACATGTGATCGCTCACAAATTGTTATCATTTAAGGCCTCTTACTCCTTTCAAGTCATAAATTTGCAAATTCTGGAATAATTGATTCCATCCCCTTTCTTAACGCGCTGACTGGCATAGTACGAACAAAATATAGATCATTAAACATGTAAATTTTTTACTTTTTCAAACTTTAATTTTCTATTTTGAATTCCTAATGTTATTAAATTACTGTTATTAATTTTAGTAATTATCATCGGGCATCTCTAACCCCTATGACAACCAACGCGTTAACTGTCCCTCTGAAAAGCAAAGATTATACACATTCTGTGTGTACTTACGATTTTTAAAAGTTGTGCTACCACGTAATTAAAGAGACGAAAAGGTACCCTGAATAAAAACGTCGTTAGTCAATTATGTTAGTTATTTCGTTGTGATAAATCTAATGATTGAATAAATTATATTAGCCTAGATCGTACAAATTCGATGTACAGGCATAAATTATACGCGTAACATTTGATTTTTTCGAAATATTAAATTTCTCGCGATGATTCGAAATCGCTTATGTGAAATATCGGTGGCACTTCGACTTCGAAGATGAACGAAATTAACACGTTGATTTGTACGGTAAATCTAACCATATCTAGAAACAGATAATTTGATTGAATTTCTTAATCCGATGCTCTGGTACCTCTTGCATTTTTTCAATTGTTGGACTAATCTAAATTCGTAATGCTGGTAGTTAGTAATACTCCTGCCCACACAACGTATTAATTACGTGCTTCGCTTGAGCGACGATGTTAATGAAATGCATTATCGCGTTCTCGAGTGTTCCATTATAAAAAAGTGTTTTTTTTTTCTGGACTATATCAATACAAATAGTGATCTCTATCGCGCAGTCTTCAGTTTCCAACGAAGGAATAGATAGGCAACGATTCGAAGAACAACGAATATAAGGAGCAGGGCAAGAATATCGAGCGTAAAATCAGCATCGAGCATGTCCAGCTCCTCCAAAGTTGTCTCAGGATTTTTAAAATGGCAGTAAATCTGTAAAATTCCATCATTAATGGAGAATTATACGAGAGGAGTATACTTATGTATGCAAATGAGATACGATACCTGAAAACACTTGAGTTTTTCTCGACCAAACGAGTACGTAGCCAACGCGGTCCCCTCGAAACCGTATCTGATGTAACTCAGATACGTGATCCATCTGAGATACACAGGAATAGCGTCGAAGCTAACGAAAAATCCTGAGAATAGTAAGAACGGTACAGACATAACCGGTGCCAAAAATACACCATTCTGTACGTTCATAGCTGCTCCAACCACCAATCCAACCGATTGTGCGACGAACGAAATCAATAAACATGTTCCCATAAACATACTAAATCGCATCATATCCGTTGGCTGACTGGTCAAGAAGTATACGATCGTTACATAAATTACGCAGAATACCGCCTGTAACAGAAAAGGTCATGTGCTTAGAATATAGAAGTGACAAACGTTTCTTTTCTAGTTCGCTTTTTACCTGGAATGGTATATCCGACACGGTAATAGCTAGATAGTAAGCCTTCAGAGAATACCATCTATTAAAGTTTTCTTTCAAGAGTACCGGCAACTCTAGTGGAACTGTAACAAGATAGACCGTTTTAAAACAAGAATCATGTTACGATTTAGACATTTTATACAAAATATTCGATTATGAAACATACAAGACAATATCGTGATAGTCATGGATGTGTACATAAGAAACAGCATGTTGAAGAAGAGGAATCCAAGATTGCTAAGCACCTTAGCACCATCATTTCCAATGTCATAATACAATGCTCCGATTAATAGTCCTACCAAGACGTGAGCAAAAAGTCGAAGATACATAAGTGTCTGAAAAGATTGATTGATTAATTCGCGGTACTCGAGGTGCTAATCGTTATATAAATCGATCGGAACTCACCCAATCTCTACGGCTGAAAAGCAATGTTCTCTTCAAAACGATCCAGAACTGTTGGCACTCCGAAGTAGGATATCTCTCAGGTGTAACTACGATCGATTCGTCGAGCAAGGCTACATCAGCGTTGTCTTTCTTTTCCATATCCATGGATATTACGATTTCGGCTGTAATACACGTGTTGATATTGAAGGCGATAATTTTATTTCTCTTATAATATTCGTTCTGCCTACATACCTTGTTTTGTAATATCATTCGTGGCGTAACTCGGAATAATCCCTTTATTAGTTATTTCTTTTGTTTTGTCCTCTTGAAACTTTTCCTCCAGATTACTAACGTCATTCTTGTCTTTCGTTTCAGCACTCTCTTCGCTGCTCGCACCTTTTTGAAGCAACTCGCTCGTCGCGTTATTCAATCCTTCTGATTTATTATCCGGGAAAGGATATCCTTCTCGAATATCGTATTTTCCATTCTTGATTGCATTCACCAGATTCTTGATGTTGTCTCCGTACTCTCCGCAGGACACCTCGATTACTGTGAATGAAATCACAATGTAAAGGCTAGAAAAATATTCTTTCGAAGAAGGTCAGCGTACTAAGAAGAGGAAAACTAGAAATATCGCGTAACGAGACTTACTGAAAGAGGCAGGATTGTGATAACTGGGGCAATTGAGTCCGATATTTCTGAGGAAAGGCACTAGCTGCGAAGTGGAACCTTGATAAACGCATTGTCCCTCTGCCAATGTATACAAAGCATCGAACATTTCAAACAATCTGGCACTAGGCTGATGAATGGTGCATATTATTGTTCTCCCTCCTCGAGCCAAGGTCTTCAACAACGAGATGCATTGGAAGCAAGACGACGAGTCCAGGCCGCTGCAAATCATCGAACAAAGAACGCTGTTGGTCACTGAATTTCTATCATGGCGTCGGTTATAATTTTTTAATGTCCGATAAAATATGTTGTGCCGTTTCGCGTAAGGACGATGATATCTTTCTGTTTGTCTTCGTCGAATTGATTATTTACATGTATCGGACCTTGAGTTAAATGGACGTTAATCGGTTGGTTACATTTTGTTCCTCTTTATCTTATCGCCCAAAACGAACGATTGTGAACCTTGAAGAACCGGTTGTGCGAATACTTATTAAGATTTCGATTAATTATTGCTACAAGGCCACGCTGATACAAGTTCATAAGTTACAGCCTGTCAGTGAACGATAAATCGAGTAAAAAGATCATTATTGTTTTGCGTCCTCGAATACTTGGAAAAAAGGTATCAGTGAAAGCGAGAGAGAAGAGAGTTTCAAAAAGTTGTTCAAAGAACTATGACCGTATACTTTCTCTCGTTGGTTATTACAGGCATTATCCTTTCAGCTGACTACCTAAGAAAACGCATGTTCAAACGTTTTCAAATCACTTACTATCCATTATTAGACTCTAATAAATAGGATTAACGGCACTATTAATTATCGATTAATCTACATTATCTATTCTTTTAAAATTATAATACGCTGGACGCTGTGACATTTATTAAGTATAATTACAAGATGACACGCGCTTCAATTTTTTACCGGAAGAAATTAATATGGATGATTATTCACCGACAGTGACCATGTTAAAACGCATTATATAAAAAGCAAACAGGTTGCTTTGACATTCGCAGTAGTGAAAGTGGAAGTATATAGTATAGTAAAGCAAGAACGTCTGAATAAGTTGACTGATTCCTTGAGAAACAATAAAAAAACAAGATTTTAAAGACGTCCTTGACAACTTTCTTTTGCTTCCTAAGAATCAGTAAACTAACGAGATAAATTGCGACATCGGAAACAGTATGGTTCCGCGTTCTTACCTGGTAGGTTCGTCGAAGAACATTATAGGAGGATTGTTGACCAATTCGAGAGCAATGGAAAGCCTCTTCTTTTGACCTCCGCTCAAGTTCGAGGTCATTGTTCGACGATGTTCGGATAAGCCGAGCGTTTCAAGGATTTCCTGAATCTAAACGAGACAAAGAAATTCAGTTCTTTCGAAATAACAACAAATCGCGTTGAAGTTCAACGCGATCGATGTTCAAAGCTATGCGTATGGGATTACGCCTCTATATGCAAATTGGTGGACCTCGCGAAAAAGAAACAGAAAAATTCAATGTGGACATACCACTTCCTCTTTTTCTGCCTTGCTGACGTGCGATCCAAGTTTAAGGTTCGAAGCGACTTTCATAGCTTCGGCCACAGTTAAATTCGCATGGAGTTGATTATCTTGCATGATGTAGCAAGATAGCTTTCTAAAAGCACTTAGATTCCTCTCGTGCCCGTTCATCGTGATACTTCCCTCCACGCCCCATGATCTAAACAATTCACGTTTAAAATGTTTCTTCTTCAGTGAGAAATGTAGAAGATGCTCCAGATTGAGCTAATTTAAACGTGGACTCAAATTAGGATGTTGCAAACGAGATGACCGATTCATTCGTAACTTGGTTCAATTATAGCGTTTAATGTTGAAAAACTTTAGATTCTCTAAACTCGTTTGCAACAAGCTAATAAATATGCGGTGTTATTGAAAACGAAGGTGTGTCGATTTTTGTTACCGTTGCTTATGCGCATAATTCGTACAACACCGAGCTTATGACGTCAAGGAAAATGGAATAATGTCAAAGGTTTATTGAAATTTCGTCGATGACAAACACGATAAACTGGTTTTCTTCTTCAAACTCTGCTAACGGATATAGACTCTTCGTTATGACTTCTTCATTTTTTACGCTTCGACGTCCTTGTCATTGATGACAATGAGTTTTTTAGTTTACGTACTCGTTCCCGTGTCAGAAAAAAAATAAATTATAGAGCAGTTTAGAAAGCATCTGATTATGCCGTTGTATTTATTATCGAAAAGTCCTTGCGAAACGATTGCATAATGTTCAGGAAGAAAGCGAAATCACGTATCCCAGAAAGAAGGTGAAATCGTCCGATGCTGGCGGAACGAAAGTGAAACGCAAGCTTTTAAAAAACACCGAAAAATTTCCTTGACGCGTTCACCGAATTATCTAGTGGCTGACATTTAGGACAGAATGTAAATAATGAATATAATCCATATGTGTAAGCGAAAGATTAGCTTAAAAGAACTCGCGGATTTTCCACATTTAATTTTTTTCAGATGAAAAAGTTATTAATTGAAATATTACACTGACAAAAATAAAGTAATCTAATCGTACAAGCGATTGTCAGTGTGTCAAATAACATTTTTACTACCAGAGTAGAAAACAAAGTGGATAGGGAGCCCACACGTGGATAATAATTCTATGACGAATAGCAAACGTGTTACAAAACTTGCATAGATGCAATGACTCACTTGTATCCGGTCAGGATGTTTAAAAGAGTCGACTTTCCTGCACCGGAAGGTCCCATAATAGCCGTCAGTTCTCCAGACCGAAGCCTTCCACTGACAGATTTCAGGATTGTCTTCACATCTGTAAATCAATGATATTTTACCAATGTTACACGGTAACAATTCATTCTCGATAAGCCATCGAGTCCAATTAAAATTTAATCGTGGACACCTTTCAGTGTTCATTTTCTAAATTTAGGATTATCTCAAATATTTTCGGAATACGAATCTTTTGTAATTAGAATCTTTGAAGTGCAATCTAAAATGTCAATGTTCGCGACGCGTTTTAACAAAGGAAAACGAGTTGGAGTATCGGCAACCATGTTGGTGCATCATCATTTCCTATATCGCAAACTATACTTTGCCCCGACAGTTAAATATCAGGGATAATGAGGCTTGCCTTATCGCGTGATATAAATTGGTATCATTTTTGTTATTAGTTCAACGTTAAGCATGGTTAACATGAAATTTATAAATTGTGCTTACTACTCGTTTATTATAATTTAAAATCGAAGCAAGCTTTAATACACGATTACCTAAAGATTATTCGTTTAATTATATTGCGCATCAGTAATTAACGTTGCATTTGATAAATCAAAACCGTCATCGTGATATTATTACTGTTACGTCACACCACAAATTTATGCATACATATCGCTTGATTGCGTGACTGGTGTGTTTTTCCTTCTATTGAACATAATATACTCATTTACTCGACCGAAAAAAATAGAACTTTATTTGCGGACGATAAAAGATGCGACTATAAAGTTGTGTATAACTTTATGCATATAATGTTTTAACCGTAAGCGTATTCGTTTCAGCAGACTTAAACTGCGAATTTACTAAAAAAAATTATTACATAAACTCTGACCATATCAGTTGCTTTTTACAAGAATGGTTAACAACCAGCGGTATAAATTTAAATGACCTAATAACTAACAGAGAAAAATAGTACCAGGAAAATAACACTAGCAATTAAAAATAACTAATTGAAGCGTTAAATTAAAAAGAGTTAAATTTTCATATCATGTCATTGCAATTAAGTGGAACATTATGTTAACTAATTCGTTCTTATTTTATAAAGTATCACAACCGCGAACGATGAGCAAATATTCTTAGTTACTAGGAAAAATGTCCTTTGGATAGACTCTCCCTAGAAATTCTATCTTTCGTTCACCAACTACGTTATGTGTGGAATAAATGACAGTGTTAACGAAAACACGAAATAAAAGTAATAAAATAATCGTTGGGATTCTCTCAACAGCATTCCGACAAGCAGCGAAAGATTTGAGAAGCGAAATGTCAAGGACCCTCGACCAGTGTTTCTCCGACTGAACGGTAAAACGTGCTGTCAATTTAATACGCGAAGTGTTTTTATATTCACACATTTTTTCGACTCTACAAGAACCTAAATAATGATCACGATATTTTGGCTATCGCAGGAGAGCGTGACTCGAAAAGGTTGCTCCTCGTTGCGCAAAATCAGGATTGCAAAAATGTTGCTATAACGCGTACGTTCACTTTCTACGGCTGGTCATATTTGCTTGGATCGTTCTATTCGGACATTTTGCTGGTAGATTCATACAATGCGTAGAAGCACGTAAATCGAAAGAAGAATCGGAGTCCAATTGCGAGAATGAACTTTGTTCTCGAAAACAACGTGTGCTTATTCCATTCATTTCGCCGACTCGTCACAGTGATTTTTCATTCTACCCTGTATTTAATCGAACCAATGTTTCGTAACGCCAACGTAACTGGACAATATAATTATTCTATTGTTTATAATTAGTAACCGAATGGTTGTTGAACATCGTTGTATATTTTTTAATGGTTGACACAAATTGCATTATTTGTTCATTGTGAATAATTAATTTAAAAAAGTATCGAAGCGCATTTAACATATTGGTCGTACAACGTGTTATTAGCATACGGTCGTTTACTTTTTCTCCTTGTGCTATGGTAATATTAGTACCGTTCAAAATTGTGTTCTTTTAATTACGTATTGTGTTAATCATCGGTAACGTTCATTAGAGTCAATGTGCTAACGAATGTCTAAATAAAGGTAAAACGAATGACTACTTTCTTCGCTTCTGTCGACTTTCAAGCTTTCACATTTTAATACAAGATTCTGCAAGTAACGACCGATGTTTGTATTATTATTGAACTGAAAAGCAAAATTGTAGAATTCAACAAATGATAAATGTATTTTTGTTGGTACTCGAAACGAAACGACAACGCGATGTCACAGATACAAAGGTTTATCGCACAGCTGCTGCAATTGAAACAGTAAGCTGCTCCAAGTATAAATTAACGATAAGTGGGAACAAAGACTTACATTTTCAAATTACTCGTCTTATTGTTACGTTTGCCTCACTGTTGATTCTAATTTCTCCTGAGCTATGTATTACTAACATCTTTTTTAACAAGCCTATTTTAAACTGATTCGACAAAAATTATTCTGTAATAACAATGATCGTTTCTGTCGAGACTGCGCTATGAAAATGATATTCCAAACCTTATTTCGCAACAAGTTTTCTTACAAAATCTCGGTCACTAATTCATTCTATACGTTCCAAGCGTATAGAAAGTTATACAATTTTCCTGACAAAATAAAGAATTCGTGAAACGAATAAATATTTGATTACAAGAGAAAACTGCTGTTGCTAAATTATTTCACTATCGCCATTTACTTGAAACGTGATGCAGATTTTTATTTCTAATGTTCGTATCACCCATTTTTCTATCATTATGTTATCTCGTAAATAGCACTCCAGTGTTGATAAAGAATTCTGTGCAACCTGCATTATTTCAGATACATGCCTATACAAGGTACGTATTTCTTTCACATGGATTACTTTCACTTTATGGTCAATGTCATCTAGAACAAGTTTTAGCCGCTCAGCATAAGATACAAGGATACTCGAATGTACATTTTAAACAAAGAACGAATACCAAATTATTTCTTTTATACAAATTTTATTATTAACGATTTGAAAAGATTAAATTGCCTGTTTTATTCGCAAAAATCTGATCCACTCAAACTGCTTACCTAGTCGGTACGAATATGCAGGTTTTACGAATTACAAGTTCAGATATCATGGAATAGTATTTCATTCTACGATTACACTGACATTTCAAATGGTTGGTCGAATCATTTTGGGAAAGTAGTATTTAATCATTTAAATATTCGAGGTGTCCAACATATCTGTAATTAATAAATATATTACTTGTACTTACTGTTTCTGCGGCCTTCTCGTACTTTGTACGTCAAGTCAGTAAATGCCAGGTCAACTGGCGGCCTTTTTGGTAGGTGAGTGATGGTTTTCGGTTGCGCCGGTATGATCTGCAACCGTACCGCTGAACTTTTCCTAGGTTCAAATAAAATCTCATTGCTATTATCCTCGTGCGAACAATTTCCTTCAAGCTTCATGTTGTATTCTTGTATTATCCCCTCAAAATTTGTCTGTCTTTATTCGAGCTTAATCTAGGTATACAGGTATTAAGTAGCCTTGTTTCTCTTTTTTCTTCCTCGGTTGATTTTTCGTTCAAACAAACCGGTCTTTTCGCAGTGCCGCGGCCTGGTTACCAGATAAATGTACGATCTCTCTCATTGCCTGGAAAATCATTTATTTTGTACGACTCGAAAACAATGCAAACGATATAACTATCCTTCGCAAACGAAAACCGAAAACGAAAGCACGGCGCAGTTTGTTCTTTTTTATTTAGTCAAGCTTCGTTTGTAGTCCGTCGAAAATTAATACATTGTCTGACTGATGTAAAATAATTCTATACAAAGTATTCAGAAATTGACGACACACGTTTTCCATTAAAATTGTTTAGCTCTCCAATCCACAAAACTATTTGGTCCAAAATTGTTGCGCCAAATCGCGATCGAAAGAGCAGCCGGCTTCGCGGTTAAACAGTTTTCGAATTTGAAATAACGCGGGCTTCTTACATTGCAGGCAAGCAGCGACGCGTGCAAAGAGTCCGATCAAAAAGCAGTGATCATGCCTCTTTTGAAACAACAACTACAGTAATTCTTATCCCCGAGACAGAACCAAGCGCATCTCGACTTTCGAGCTCTTCGCGTCCTCGATAAATACGCTGCTTTTTTCGACGTTTCAAGGCTAGACACCTGTACGCGTATAATTTCCGCACGACTACTTGGTGCAACGAACTATCGAAAACGTAAACGGAGAATCGAGGACGGCACACACGGTCGATTATTCCACGACGATGCTCGAACCACGGTGTCTCGAGACGGACTGGTTGGCTCTACCATTTGCCTGCACCGCGGCCATCACCATTGACCGTCGTTGCTTTCCACAGTTATCGTTCTCTCTTTCTCACTTTACTTTTAGCTCGTTCACTCTACGATGCTCTCTTTTCCCTTCGCTTCGTCTGGCTTTTAAGGACGCGACAAAGGAAGATGATAGTCGGAACGAAGAGAGGGTTAACGCGATTAATGTCCGAGCTTAAAACGACTCGAGCTTTTTAGTTGTATAGCCTTTGGTAATTGCTATTTCAGTAATGGTTCAATTATTCGTTTACGATTAGTTTATCTCGATTTAACCCCTACGCGGTTGCGAGTTTCTTCCTGTGCTTATCGGTGCCTCTGATAGCCCTGAAAAGCAGGACGTCGTGAACTGTTGGAAGATGGACTATCGAACCGATTTCTCCAAACTCTAAATCATTCTACCTTCAGTTTTAATCGAACGGATTTATTAATATTTTTGCATGTGCAATTTTGCAAAGACACTCGAAGAATGTCCGTTATCTTCTTAACTGCCATTTACATTTCTCTCGCGTTTTCTACAGAAACAATACATCGTTATGGACGTGGAAAAGGCGTTCCTTTGACGTCTGAGGTTTATCGTGTCACGTTTCACCGGCGTCATATCCTACCTGTTGAATTTATTAAAGTAGTTCGCTTCGATCCTCTACGAATCTAATTAATACGCAAACGCATTCTATACTGAATATTTTTTAAACATATTCAGTTATTTTACGTTGTTAGTAGAATACCGATGTGTTTTCAATTTTTCTTTCCTCGTTCCGTTTTTCTACCAGCGTCACGTATCAATGTCGCTCGGATTTCTCATGAATATTTGTTTCGTAGGACTTCAAAGCCGATAAAAATGAGTCCCATCTGTCACGCAATTTCAAAAATATTAAAACACACGTTTCGACATTGCACAACTTTATTAAACAGGTGGTTCGACACCGCTACTTCGATTTAGTCAAATATTTGAAAGAAAACACAAGCTTTGAATACTCTTAACGCTGAAACGATAAGATTTAATATGTCTGATCGCATATGTCATTTTTCACTGAGCAGATAGCGGATTCGCTACCGCAGTGGACGTTAATGCGCGGTAAGACGTACAAGGATACGAACATTTGATATTAAAAAGCTTTCGAGTTCACGATATCGTATATCATTCCCCTTTACTCGGATAGTTCCTTCGTTGGAGTATCGGTAGTGTGATAAAACTACCTAGTTGCACAACTAACGAACCGTTTCATCTCATTTTAGTCTTCGACAAATAAATAATGCATGCGTGTAATCACTCAGTAGAATAGCATTTACGATGACGCATAACGCATTCTACGACTAATATGCACCTTAAATATTTTCATAGTTCATACAGTGTACGAGTATGATCAAACACGGATGATTAACGTTAATCATACCAGAATGAATTGATAGTTTACATATTAACATGGTCTATTCATATAAGACGTATCTTTGAATTCCGACTGAAAATGATTAAAAACACCGAATATGCAAAGGTGGAAAGCTCTTAGTTAACCTGATATATTGCCAACGCCAAGAATCTTCCACGGCTCCCTTTGTGGCAATATGACGAATGCATGACATATATCAAAACCGTGTTTGAAAAGGACTAGTCGTTCACAAAACAATGAACAATAAGGATTCGATTGTGTTCTCCTTCTACGACTTGCATGCTTAAAGTCACGTACACGACGTACAAGATCGCGATGTCATTGTACGCAAGGTTCATGTAAGTATTTAGAAGGACATTTCATACTTTCGTCGTCTTTCTTGATGTCCGATAAAACTGGTTTTACACTGGTTTTTGACTGAAACACGCGTCGAGAAAAATAGTCAACGTGTCTTGTATGTATGGTTACAATATGTGTTGAATACACAGGCTACGGAAATTGTTAAAAAGAAGTAATACTTCTTTATGAACATTAATTTAAGTGGAGTGAATAAGTGAGGAGGGATTTCCAACGAAAATGATAGAAAAAGTGTGTACTGGAATTCCCAAGAAAAAATAATGAGGGAATGAGCTGTCAATAATTAATTCTGCTTAATTCATTGAATATTGATTGAATAGTAGATGGTCAGAAACGAACTAATTATTCTTTGAAGTTTGTATTCTTCCTGAACGTGTTGATGGACAGGTGACGAATGACAAGCGCAAGAAATCTAACACGATGTTTGTCATAGTAAAAGTAGATATCAATGATTAGACAATTTCAACATTTTTTGTATTATTCCTATATATGAGTTATTAAAAATTTTGTAAATGCTTTTCGAGTTAAATATATCAAGAGGTATGGATTGCATAAATGATTATGAGAAATGTCAAGAAAAAACGTGTTTCGCTGCTTCTGCAGTCGCATAAAATTATTAAAAATTTTGCTTGGCAGTGTAACACGTCGAAGAAAAATGTATCATATTATCAATGAAGCTATCGCAATGATTCTTCACCGAATCTATTCAGAATAAAGGTCGCTTACACAACCAAAAGCACAAAGTCCACGACTGAACAGTTGTCGTTGTTTAGCAGCTACGATAAGAGCATAATTATTAAACTGGTGCAACGCATTGATTTTTATTCTATCGCATGAGCTATGATTTATTTCCAGTTTTTTCTGCGTTTCCTGTTCTAATAATTTTGTTATATAAAATTTCTGACACTGATTATAAATGGACCGTCAGTCAACGCATTAATTTAAGGCAAACGTGCAAATCGTAACATACAATCGTAATCGCTTTCTAACGTCATTATACGTCACATAAAGCAGAAAAGTATTCAGTAGTTGATATTTTAATAGATATTCAAATTTTTCTCGTATCGAATGACATCATCTACATCTGAATTACTGTGTTTCGTAGTAATGATTTTACTCTAATGCATAAGAAAACAGATCCAAGAATTGAAAAATGACTCGTAATGGCGTAGAGAAATTTTTGGCCAACCTGTTTGAAGTATGTTCGAGTGTTTTATTGTCACTTAATGCGCGTAATAAGACCTCGAGTATAGAAGGAAGCCATGGGAACTGTTCAAAAGTTTTATCACGATGCCTCACGGTGCATCGACACGGCAACTACAAGGTCATTATAATTCGTGTATCGAACTTAGCGCGTTCGTTCGTGTATAAATTAATCGACATATCAAAAAAAAGGTTTGAAAAGAATTTATTTAAATCAATGAAGCCTGAAAGAATATTCTCGAAAAGCAATTAATTGTCATGTAGATGTTGAAGATTTACTTACAAATTACTGTTGCTTATTAAACTAGCGTGCCCATTCTCCCTTCCGTGTTCTACCATTGTACAATTTTGTTTTTCACGTGGACGGATTTATGTTCATGTAACGATCGAACCTGAAATCGTGAACATAAATTGTTAAGATAATAATATACGATGAAAATTGGTGTGGAAAAACGAATGACATTTGCAGAAAATCCATAACCGCAAGATTCATTGATAGTATCCTACTTAATAATTCTTTACCATCCTCGCTCGAGGAAACCGAAGTGGAATACTAACATTCTGTATTTCTTCGGACGAATAAACAGATTTTACAAATACAGCAGTTCCCTATAAATTACGTTTCTATTACGAAATAATATAAATTTTGAAAGTAATCGTCTACAGCGTTGTTTAATTTGTAGTTTCGCGCCGAATAACTTTAGTAGCAACTTGTTAGCCTTGACGAGTCTACAGCAAATATTAATTCATGAAATTTACGTAATCACGCAAAAGAGTCATGAACTTTGCCCTTGAATATTATGTCTTAAGTTTATCAAGACTTTAATAACAATTAAATAATCACGTATTATAACAAATTTTGAAATACGGCGGGAACTCGAAAAATCAATAAGTTTATTCTATTGTTATCGATGGAGTTCGTACTGTGTATTTCGTTCGATTACGGTGAATTAATCTACTACGTAGATTCGGTAAGAATTTATAATTCACAATAGAGTCCGTATAAAAGAAAGAGATAAAAATACGAAGCACCACTTCGCTAATGAAAACTGACACGCACTATATGTACATACAAAGTACAGAAACTTGAGGTTATGATCACCAAAGATCTCGTTCGAACCTTTTCTACCTCTGCAGCTTGTTTTAATAGTACGAACGTAACAATTTTCACATCATAGACAACACAAATATTTAAAATATTATCTTTGGACGAAAAGTTTTAGGTTATATAGAAAAGGAAAACTCAACGTACCCACTGTTACGTCTACGAACACGAGACACGACGTTCCGCCAAACGCGTTGATCGACAACTGTTGTGTGTTCTAATCACAGTCGTCTAATCGACGATCATTTACTGTCCCCATCCTAAACTTCGATCGGCGGATTGGTTGTCGATAAGATTGTAAGTTCGCGCTTGAATATCTTCTCGAATCTGTACCGGTGCCCTTTTAATATCTATATCTCTACTTACATATTTTAGAAGATATACTATTTCATAATGCGTACGTAAAAATGTACGCATTACTTTTTTGGTAGACAGTAAACGACGTTTTATTACGTCGCAAGCTTAGTCGGTAAAGGCAGAAACTACATAGTGCCAAGGATAAGGAGAAGTGAAAGGATAAAAAAAACTTAGTGCAAGTCAACATAAAATCTTATATTTCTGAAGATTATATTTTTTTAGAACTTATAAATATTTAATTATTATTAATTAAGTACATGATTAGGGTTAGATATTTTTTATTTCTTTTCATCAAACAATTGTACATCTTATTTTATTTGAGGAAATAAAATACTGTTTTATTTCAAATAACTCTTTGGCCTCTGGATCATTTTCTAAGCGATGTCTCATTAAGTGTAGCGCTGTACAAAAACTGAAGTTCAAAATTGAAAATTGCAGCCATCAGCAAATTCGTATCGCCAAAACGATACAAATTTCCCAAGTCACACCACGAGGAGGTTGCTGCAAATGGTGACTCGCCCTATCTCCGACGGCCCATCCTCCCAACCATGCAAAACTCTACGCTGCTTTGAATTTCGCAGCCCTTACATCCTCCATTCCGAAAGGAAAAGACGATGCAAGCCAAAATGGACCTACCCGGGAAACAGATAGGAGTGCTAGCCATCTCCTACCTGGCGTGCGAGCTACGAGCTAAGCGAGACTTAACCTAAGACTTAACCTAAAACTTAACCTAAATCCCTAGCTACATGTGGGCAGGCTTCCCTAGCTAAAGTGGTACATGTGGGACCCCATATGTCATTTGTTCCGTTCATATGTTCGCAAAATGACGTACTCCTAAATGAAAGGAGACGTCGACGAAAATCGAAACGTGCGAAGCTAAAAGATACCCATAAACGAGTATCGTGTGAATTCGATTACATGGATCCGTCCCGTCCGATATGTAGTCTCGGGGAAATCAGGGATAAGGTGTGTAAATAGAATAGAAAATTTCTTTGCTATGCTATTTACGTGCGAATTTTGCAGACGATATAAAGCGCAGAAAAGGCGTCTCTTCGCGTTGCAAAGAAACTAGTATTTCTTTTGCTTCCACTCATCAGCAATCGCTTAGCTCCCTAATGGGTTACCGATTTCGTATGTATGACTTCCTCTTTCTAAAAACGTAGTCAGGACCACAGAATTATCTGTTAATCATCGTACGAAATGGGCCTGTAACGGTGGTGCACGTCACGGACATCAGTATCTCAAGAAAAAAACCCTTGAGACCTTACTTCCAGACGCAGCACGAATTGCATCTTCCCGAACGTATCGCCTCAAACACGACCACAAAATGGCGGCCGTCCCTGTCCAGCAATAGGTTCGCGAAGCGTACAATTCTCACCTTACCGACGCGTAGACAGAAGGAATGAAAAAGGGGAAAAAGGGGACTTACAATCGTCCGAGGGAATCAATGAAAGCGAATTGCACAACGCGGAAGACGCGGAAGACGCGGATGACGCGGAAACACACACACACTAAGAACATATGAAACGAAATAATGACACTCAGCCTAGCTTGAATAAAATACGAGAATTGAAATTGCAAAATCGAATCAATAAAATTAAAAAAAATTCAAATTTTGTTGGAAAAATGCTACAAAGTTACACAGTTACGTTGCACGAGGTTCAAGCTAGACTGAAGGGGCGTCGTCAAGCAAACTGCTTATATGAGCGTCGTTAGCGACAGTGCTGCCACCAGTGCTGCCACTAGAATTTTTCGAACCTCTGGTCAAAAATTTACTGCTAGAAAAATTAATATCTTGCTACTATATTACAGTTATGCACTAAAACGTTTACAAATATTAATGTCAAGATAATACAGACAATTATTTATGAAGAAAACGATAAATGAATGAAAGGAATGTATACTTTTGACTAAAATGCACGGGGCTTATTTTTTCTTTTACGGAAGTGGTCTATCGATTAGTTCAACAGCGACGTAAGCGACATCTGCTGGAAACATACCTAACCAGACTGTTACTCGTTGTTCTAGAAAGTTCAATATAACGATTATTTTGTTATTGTTTGTATGTTTAGAAACCGTTAAATGATGTTTACGATTAAATGAACAGAAGTATAAACTACAAGAATTAATTGTTTAAGATAATAATTGATGTATCATATATGAAGCATCAAACATTCTTACATTATTTTTATTTGTAAATTGTAATTACATTTGTATGCGTATTACTGCAATTGGTAACTTCGAGAATAATCTATATTTTTTAAATGCATATGTATAAAACGATAGAATCTGCACGTTTCTTCTCATAACACCTGGGAAATAAATATACGATTAACAATTATTTTCATTTGGGTATGAAAGAATCTGGGAACGATATTCAGATTCTTATTGAACGTATATTGTATATATATATATGTCTATGTACTTTAGGGGAATATACATATGTAATCTGGAGGGGTTCGAATACCTTTTGTGCGAACAAGAATGAAGGTCACTTTTTGTGTGCATACTAGCGAAGCCGTCTAGCTTCTCTTTCTGATTCTAAGAGCGTTAAAATGTCCCCTTCGCGTACAGGCCCTTTTACGTTTCGTATCAGCTGCCTATTTTGTTCGTTTAAGAATTCCACTTTGACCTGTGTACATTGTCCTTGGGAACCAGTCCTACCAAGAACTTTTACGACTCTTGCACGAACGATAGGTTTTTCCATACTTTCGGATCTTCGAGTCCCTTTAGTGTCCTTCAGTCTAATCCCACGATTGCACAATTGATCGCGATGCTGTCGATCAATTCCCTAAACTACCCTCTGCAATTCCTACCAACTTAGTTGCACAATAATTAACAGCATTCTAAATTATATTTTATACAATGTTTCAAACTATCGCGTAAACGAAAGTACATATCTGAACAGTAGTTCTCGAGAAATCTAAAGAATGCTACACTCTGGCGTATAAATAATCGTGTTTTATAAAGTATTAGGTCTTTCGTTAGAATAGCTTAAAAAACTATTCAAAGATACTTTGTTTTGGCAGCATTGCTAAAACAGGCTTAAAATAACCACCCTGGTGTTAGATTGGTCCTCGAATCTCACGTGCTCGTGACGAGATCTACCAGTTACAAATTTGAATCGTAAATTTCGAACGCAATATTGAATTCAACATTGTATAGCTGTCGGCCGTGTTTTTTTTATCTAGCATTGTAACCGACAAACTGAGAATCGATAGTTCTACGTAACGAGCGAAAAATAATTGCAAATTGTGTTATCGGTTTTGCCATTCTTTTTAAATTATTCGACCTTATCAGACGATGGATAAATAAACCAGTTAATTAACATAAGTAGAAAATAGAAATTTTGTTATGTACCATTTTAATTTACGATGAACTGTTCTTGTTGAAGGTTTTTCTTATCGAATTTAGTGACTAGCGCGTGTTCGTATTATACAGATGTTTATTCATTTGTGCTTTAGTATAAACGTGACATTCCTTGTTCAGAACACGAGTTACATTACGCTCGGCAATTTTACATCGTAAGGACATACGGTACCATTTTACCCCGCGTGTTGCACTTCGTTTTCACACGATTCATGCTTATTTTTCGATGTCGCACACACACATGCGCACAACCTCACACACGTATACTCTTTAGTTCAATATAAAATTACAATACTTGAAAAAAGTGTCATGTACCTGTATGCAATACATGGTCGAACAATATACATTGTACATCGACGTGTTCAGTATGTGTCCTAAAAGCTGAAAATGTTCTGTCTTTGTAAATCAATGCTCCTACGCTGCGCACTTATATGTATACGTGGTATTCGTGTTAATTAAAATATCGTTAACCCTTCCGTTGTGAACGACGTATATATGCTTCATTAAAAATCGATTATGAACTACAAATGTACGTACAACCAGCCACTTACGAAGAACATTTTTGACTACTCTGCTTGAAATTAATAATAAGTAAATTATAATACTTTTCAACCTTCTATGACAGATTTACAATTATGAAGTTCACAGTGAAAGGGTTAACAGCAGTCCGAAGATATTGCTCGCAAGACAGTTGTGTTTCTGTGTGTGTTTGCGCGCGTGTATGTGTGTGTATGTGTGTGAGAGAGAAAGGGAGAGAGATTAAAAGTTTACTTGTTCGTTATTACAGTCTCAGTTGATCTCGCGAGCCTTGAACACAGTACACGCATCTGTGTGTGTGTCTTGTGTGAGAAGGGTGTGATTAGTCTGACACATTACTGCTTTTATGTCTGACAGTGACTCCGAGCTAAGAATATGTTTGCGCAGCATTACAAAGAACAGAATCGAAAATTGATGAAGCAATAAAAAATAAAAAATCGATAACTCAGTCATCCGTGAACGAACCGAAAGTCACACAGAGCCGCCCCTACAATTTGTAGGACTAAGGAACAAAAGTCACGCGAACAAAACTGCATACCTTTTTACGCCACTTAGCGCGGCGAAAATATATGCTAATAAAATTGTAAAACAAAATTTTTCCAGGTACTCGTAAAAATGCTTGAGTCCGTGAGACTCGAGGTACAGGTCGCGTGCAGTTTAGGCCTCCCTTTTGTTGCGACTTAAGGGGAAGCGTAAGAGAAAGGGCTTCTTCCCCCTTCAAAGTTGTCTCTTAGGGAACAATCGTCGTCTTTGTTCGTCGTTACTGTGAATACAGGTATACGCTATGAAAACGCTTGCTCCCAAAGGCAAATTGAGAAGCTTTTCCTCCTTCGCTCATATATCCTTAGTCAAAGGAGGTATTATACTGCACGGTACACTGCCTAATCGGTGGTAGGGACGGCTCTGGGTATTGCAAGCGAAGTAAAAATTGTAATGATATTGCGTTTAAATCTTGGCTCTACGCGTGTTGCATGTATGCAAATTGCTTTGGTAACTATTTCTCGTGTATGTTGTAGGGGTCATGTAGAATTCAGTAAGTGTTTATGGCTTCTCATCGTAAAAAGATGGCCTTCAAGGAAACATATCAAAGCATATCGATCGATATACAACTGAATACAAATAACATAAGACAGTATTGAAAAAAATTGTTTATTGCTAAATTAAGAATAAAATGCACATAGGCTCGTACTGTATTATAATTTGTAATTGTAAGAAAATATAGTGCTATATTTTACAAAGTACAAAACGAGACCACGTCGCGAGTGAACGAGGTGAGACAATCACCTCACCCAGGGAAGTCATCGGTACTCGCTGTTGTACAGTTAGGTTAAATTATGTATTTCGTTTCGTATTTTGTACATCTCACTTTCGTTAAGCGTACAAGCGGGAGCCAAGATTTAAACGACTTACAAATTGTTTGTCGTGTTCAACGAAAAGATATAACTGTTACACCCTTATCGTATCTATACAATTTCAGCATACTTCGTTATCCTGCCTTCGTAAGTTCTTACGCTTACAACAATTTGTATATGTACACTTTACAAAACTTTGCTATCGCCGTACGATTGTTTACCGATACTGAATCACAATTGAAACGCATCCGGAATGAAATTAATATAATTCCACGATTTTGCTTATCGATAGGGTCGACTTTAACAGCGTTAATTTGATCACGATACGATTGTGTCCCAATATCCTTCTCTGCGCCGACAGTTCAAACAAAAACTTGGAAACTTAAGAACCCCCATTCCCTACAATTCATAATATTTATTTGTTGTTCGTCGTTCAACGTAGATACCGGTTACACGCATAGCATAAATTTATCACTGGTTACAAATCATTGTATAACATATTATTTAAACGCTATGTTCGTCGTTCGACTCGTCTAAAACCAGTAGAAGCAAGCTAAGGGATTCGTCAAATCGAAGACGACTCGATTAAGTAAAGAAGCAAGGTTTCGACAAAGGCTTTCCTCCTAGGAAGTTTCTAAATATTTACGTTTCACGATATAAGTACGATTACTTGTTTTACACAGCAGTTATCTTCGAAGGTAACGAGGACGTACTTGAATAGGATTTAAACATAATTTCGCTCCTACCAATCAAGACGAAATAAACGCAACTAAACTTCGAACGGAACGATCGCATAAAAGATACCTTAGCTTAAAACGAGAAACCATAAATTGAATTTACATCTAATATTGGAAATATGAAAATATTTATACGACTATTTTTTTTCTTTTTTTTTCTTTTGATTGTATCAAATATCCCATCCAGAATTTCGAAAATCATAACGAAAGACAATGATTATACGATAAAGAAAGTTATTCTGTACTCGATTGTATTCGCGACTTTCTTCGCGAAAGTCTTCAAGACACGAGAGCTGAACGAAAGAAAATAAGTGACGAATAATTAGTCTACGAAATGTTCAATCTTTCCGTTACTTTCCCGGTCGTTGAGTAAACGAACCTGTGATACGAACAAATGCGTAGGCCGTGAAAGAAATTTCTGTAAACATTTCCAAAAAACATAATAACCTTGTTAAATTCGTTAACGTATAGACTCGCGTGCCTACTTGTTTTCTTTCGTAATAAACGATAGATATATGCTTCCTTTATCTCTCTAATTAAAGGGCTATATCATCGTAGTAAATATAACAATGTTCAGCATTCCCACTTAAAAAGCAAACGCACAGGCAGCTAGTGATTGGTCAAGTGTGAGCTTTTTTGTTATTTTTTTTTACAATACCTTTGTCGCTTGAACGCTTACAGTTATCGAATAATCGATTAGTGGAATGACGATATGGGTAAGGATTGCTCGCGATTTCGTACGAAATCATTTGAATACAAATACTAGAATAAGTATCTCGTCGATATACGCGCGCGTCGGACGTGGAAACGAACGTTTGGTGTACCAAGAAGGTCGGTTAAAATTTTTGTCCGACATGTTAAACGGTTTAACATGTTTGTATATCTCCGAGATACCACGTTAATGTATACATGTATAGTCTAAGTGAATGTAGCGATCGATGTAAACACGAGAACAATAAAGGATCAATTTTAATCTTTGATTCGTAAATTCTATTGCTTATCTATAGAAAAAAGTCCATGAAGTTCCGCGTGACGCACACGCGCTCGTTGGAGGGACCATGAGTCTTAAATGGGCCTAAGGCTCCTGGCGAGTTTGTAATAATTGGCTATAAATGTTTGCGTTTCGATTTCAATGCATATCACCCACGGTGGTCTCGTTTTTCGGTCTATTATCGATGATATTAAACTAATTCACGTGTACTCTAATTTCATTAGAAATGCCTAAATGATCTATGCGTACAATTCACTTGTATTTCTTCGTCTCTTTTACATCGCGCGAAACAACTTTCGTCGTACGTTTCTTATTCTTTTCACGTTTTCGTGCGGTATAAAGTTCGGATAGACCGAGTCGATTGAAACGTGTCGTCAAGAACGTCATTCTTGAGCTTTCCGAGGTTGTAAAACACTTAACGTTCGTAATAAAACGCGACAGTACGCACGATAGTTCGTGATTTACCAAACTTTGTCGGTTCAAAGTTTTCGTTTGTATGTATAGAAAATCTTAGCAATTGACAACAAAAAGAAAGTTGAAAACATTCCGTCGCGCAGTTTTCACACGTGTATGTACAGTTTGCTCGTTCATTCGAAACGTTCGAGTATTTCTATCTTCGGCGAGAAAAGAATCAAAGTTAAGAACCATAGCCGCGAATATTCGTAGATTCTTTTGAGATTGAAGCGAATATCCGTGACGACTATTACGACCTATCGAGGCGTCCTCTCGGTCACCGGCGCACGTTTTAACGAAGAGATCGTAACTTCAGTCTCAGTACAAAGTAGGCGATAATCCTCAAGCTAAGCAAGAAGCCTGCCAGTGCAACGGCGTCTATCCAGAAGACGGCGTTTTGCATCGACATTTCTTCGAGGAACTTCGTCGGGCTCTTGAAATGGCAGTACGCGTCGGAACACTTGAGCTTAGCACGATTGTAACCATACACGGAAATCATGGCGCCTTCGAAACTATACCTTACGTAGCTCACGTACGAAAGAAATTTAAGATACTTTGGAATGGCATCGAAATTGACGAAGAAACCGGAGAACAGAACAATCGGTACCGACGACACTGGACCGATAAATACTCCGCTCTGAAACGGAATTTCTCCTTTAATACTAGAAGATAATATTCCACAGAGAAAAAGATTAAACGACATATTACCTCCACACTCATCGCTGCTCCTATCACTAAACCGATGGATTGAGAAACTAACGCTGTTAACATGCATATAGTTAAATACATCATAAATCTATTCGTTTCGAATGGTTGTGACGTCATGAAATATACAATGATAACGTATGCTACAGAATACACTATCTGAAAACAAAAAATGATTAGTACTTTAATCGAAATACTTAAAAGGCAACGCGTGTTCGGTTAAATCGATGGTATTATATTTACTTGAAATGGTACATCGGCCAGAGTTCTCGCAAGATAGTAAGCTTTCACGGAATACCAATAATTTAAATGTTCTCTCACAAATACGACCATTTCTGATGGAACTACAACGAGGAAACATCGTTGACACACATGACACTAAGGACGTAGAAATTTGATGCTTGATCTGTTTTACTTACATGTAAGAATGGTAGGCATCATAGAGGTGAACATGAGAAACATCACTGTAAAGAAAACGCAACCAGCGTTGCTCATTACTTGCGAAGCATCGTTACCGATGTCGTAATAAATTGCACCGATGAGAAACCCAACGATTATATGTGAAATCAGCCTTACTCTCGTTAATGTCTGCAATCAAAGAAAATTCTTCAATGAACAAGAAAAATACGAAATTGACAATTATGGAAACGTCTGTCAGATTCGAGGAAATATTAGCTTCAGGTTCTTGAATACACTAACCATGTCTCTTATTTGCGATAAGAATATCCTTTTAAGAAGAATCCAAAACTGGGTACAGCTATTCGTTGGAAAGCCAACTTTCTGCTCTATGCTCTCTGCACTGTCCAGCAAAGAGGTGGTGCAAGAAATCGGCATATTAATGACCGTTCCCCCGTTTGGTTGTTTCGCCACTCCGTTCGGAATCAAAGCGGACTCGGACTTTGTCTCTTGTTGCGGTGATTCTTTCGCGATGTCGTTCGATACGGTTTGCACCGCGTTCATCGCGGCTTGATAGTGCTGATAGTTAGCGCATTTACCATTGTTCACAGCCATCACTAACTTATGCACGCATTCGCCGTGTTCTCCGCACGCCACTTCCATCACTGCACAAAGAGTGTCGCAGAGCGTTAAAAGCGGCAATCGATCGGTTTTAACTACGTTCAATCGCGACGTTCGCTTACCATAATCCGCTGGATTGTGGTAGCTGGGGCAGTCTAAGCCCATCGACGATAAAAAGGGCACCAATCCGCCTACGTTACCTTGATATATACATTGGCCCTCAGCCAAAAGGTACAAATGATCGAACATTTCGAACAATCGTGCACTTGGCTGATGTATCGTGCATATGATAGTCCTTCCTGATAACAGATATATTATATAGATTATTGAACGCACTAGGAATAGATCCGATGCCTCGGCGGGTTGCCGTTTGACACGATTTACCTCCTCTGCTTAACGATTTGAGTAAGCTCAAGCATTGGTAACAAGTCGAACTATCTAAACCGGAAGTCGGCTCGTCGAAAAACATCACCGGAGGATTATTCACGAGCTCCAATGCGATCGATAGCCTCTTTTTTTGGCCACCGCTCAGGCAATGAGTTTGTGTGTTGCTCGCGTCGCTTAGGCCGAGAGTTTCGATGATTTCTTCGACCTGAGTTTATTCAAAATTATTATGCCAGTTCTATTAAAACGCAGTTCATAATATGAACGTTTACTATAGATTTTCTTAAACCCACCACTACTTTTTTCTCCATCGCGCTGATGTCTTTCCCCAATTTTAAGTTAGCCGAGACCGTCATTGCCTCGTACACAGTTAGGTGAGGCAGCAGATGATCGTCTTGCATTATGTAACAGGACATCTTTCGAAATCTTCTGAGATTCCTGTCTTTTCCGTTTATTAGAACGGAGCCGCTGAGGTGAGACGTTCTGAAAATATATGACACAAATTTAATTTCATCGAATTTCTCTCTAGTTTCATCGGACAGGCAGTGCAGGTATGAAAACTCACTTGTATCCTGCCAACACGTTCATTAGCGTACTCTTCCCGGCACCGGAAGGGCCCATGATGGCGGTCAGTTCTCCGGATCGGAATTTCCCGTTGACACATTTTAGAATCGTCTTGTATCCTGTAAGGTAACATGTACATAATATAGTGTTTGACAGTATATCATTTTGCAATATAACTGCATCATGACGGATGAATTTTCAAGCGAGTGCTGGTATCAAACGCGACAGTTCGCTACCTATTCTCGCCTGGTATACTATTGCGGTTAAGATTCGTTAGTTTTATTTTCTTTTCGACTCGCTAACTTCCTCTAGCACGTACATTTTAACGCTTTACGTAATATTTCGCATTGCCAAAATAGTAACCCGCAGTCTTGCCAAGACTTCGCAACATTCTCGAAGATAAGGCATAGAATTTTCGCTAAACTGCGGGTTTCACGGATAGTCGGATTCCCTGGCTGACCTCTTTACGAGCAAGTAAGTACAGTAGCACCAGCACGAGGTGCATCTGGACCGAAACAAGAACCAGCCTGTACGTACATCCCTATCGATTCTTTCAGCTAGCTTCTTCACACGTATAGACACACACACACGCGTTGTTGAACAAAATGCCTACCGAACTCGTGTCTTATCTATTCACTGTTACTTATTGCCGAAGACGAACCTCTCTTCCTGCCTTCGGACACGCTGTACGCCAGGTTCTTGAACTCGACGTCAACCGGTGGCCTCTTTGGAAGATGCGTCAACGTTACCGCCGGCCTTTTACCATCCTGTCCTGGACTATGATTGGGCACCTTTCTCACGAACATGCTACTGCTACACATTGAAACCGCGGCACCGTTCGTCGTGCTGCCGTTGCAATTGCAGTGCAGATTGTTTTGCGAGCCGCTGAAACATAAAGAACAACAATTTTATGACTCTCGAGAAACAATTGCTTGGAGTCGAGTAAAAGTCTCCGGTCATTTTAGATTCGAGGTATCTTTGGAAGAAAAACGTTGGGATTTTCACGACCTGAAAACGCTTTGGAACCTTGTTTAACTTCCAGGAAATGTGATTTTTAAACAAATTGAGAATCAACGTTTTACGCGTGCTGCGCGAGTAATTCATGTCGTTGCTTCAAATTGGATAATTGCCCGCTGTCATTTCCACGAACTCGGCATTTAAAGCGAAACTAATAAAGAAGATCTTTCGCCGTGCTACTTTACGAGTTCATAAACTTTTGCTTTCTTTACGAGCCTAGCTAAGAATAATAAGTAAGTCACGGTAATTCGCTGCTGTATCGAATCAATAAGAGAACGTTTTATTTCGTTATCGAGATTCTCGTAAAGTTAAGACAATGAAATTCGTTCCTTTAGGAACAACGAACGATTCGTGTCCGACGAGAGGGGCCCAGGAAAGTTAGCCGAAGCCTTAAACACGATCAATGGAAGAACCTTGAGTTCCGATTTAGACGGTATTAGTATTCGGGGTATTGTATTTCGCGTGTTCGAAGTTGACTCGATGACCGCGCAATCATTATCGTTCGTTATCGCGTACCCTCGAATGATATCAACGCTGTACCAGTGGAATTTGTATAAAACAAAAAGCGGAAATAAGGGAAAAATCAAAGGTTATAGCGAGGAAAAAGAATTCAATGTTTTCCCGAATTCGATGACCTCATTTTTACTATCGTTAACTATTTCTATAGAAGCGTGTAGGTTTATCCTGAGTCACAAAAGATCACGATGAATGATCGGTGTATGAGTCGTATACACAGACGACCGAATAGTTTAACAACGAACAAAGACCGATTCAACTGTAGAGGAATCGAAGGTTAGCTCCGTTAGCAATATGCTATACCTATGCGAAAATACGTATGAGCGATTAAACGCGAATATCTGTTTTTTATGGATCGTCTATAGGTGACTATATTCTAAAACATCTGGCAATAGAAAGCTGGCGACGGAACAACAAACTGGAAAAGATCGTTGCAAACTATGTACTCGAACAGTTATTTCTTCGGATGTTTATTAAAAAGATAAACGAAACGAGCAATCTTTCTAAGAACGCTTTATTCGGTTTCGCTATATGATGCACCTTGACTATAAAAACATCCATGACAGCGTACAATCATTCTTGAAGCTATTATCTCGATCCGGACGACCTTTCGAGGATAAGAAAAGTTTAATCGCTTAAAAACTACATGCATATCTTCTCCTGAATTTTGAATGGACAATGTTCCTTTACGACGATCGATGCAGTTTAACGTCGATATATTCTCTCGTATACATATACATTTTGCACTCGTTTCGAACTAAGTCTTTTTAAATTAAAAATGGTTCATTCCTAGGTTTTAAAAATCTAATGCTTTAGTTTAGACGACTATACAGTAGATTCTACACTGTTACATAGGAATATAACGAGTAACGGTTTAATACTTATTAAAAATTTACGATCGCATTCAATTGTTTTCGTGAATCTCGATGCGCAGAAGATCCGGATAAAGAAAGCAGTATATCGAGAAATGAATATATTTGAAAGAACCGCCTTATTACTTTACCTGAGAACTGCATTGTTCAGACTTTCCAAGTGTAACGTCGGTGGAGGAGATTTAATCGTCACCTGGTGACTTCCGCCCGGAATGAATTGCACCTGTTCATCGCCGCTGTATCTGGGTCCTCCTCCACCGCTCAGACTGAGATTTTTCAGATCTGCCATCATCTGCTGATGCTGGAACGATAAAGGTAACCAATTTAAAGTTCTTCAGTGGTCTCGAAGCGGCCCCGATCGAAACTTTGTTTCGTGTCAAAATTAAACGAATATTGTATCTTATAGTCGACGATCAATGGAAATTAATTGAATTGCCGCATTACACGCGAACCTATTAATTAATTTTCTCTTATTAAAGTTCATCCGCAAATGTCCATGCAATGATCAATACGATTCGAAGGTATCGAATTATTTTATATCGATTCGTATGCACGTAAGTGTAACGATATGCAGAAAATTTATAAATATGTACAAGGACAGTTGGTTTCCGTTTTACGAGATACAAAGTGCGGTGCAATCGCGATTTCATCGCAACATTAAAAGGCGGTTTTCGGGATAACATCCGTGTATCATTTGCGTTCGGAGTACGAGCTTTGCCACTGTCAAAACGAGTCCGTGTACAAAGAGTTTCCTCCCTCTTTTTCTTTTTACATTCGTCGAGTAGTCTCTCGTTTCCATTTAAGTTTTATTGCCACACATTAACCGGATGGTACGATCTAACGTTATTTGTTACGTCGCCGACAGACGAATAAAATATTGTCCCGATCGGTAAGCTGCTATTAACCCTTTCGATTTATATTTTTTCTTCAATCGCATCAATTGAAGACTTACGCTGCCCAACACAAACCTTGGAATTGCTTGGAATCGCTTTGGTATTGCCACAGTTAAATTTGGAATGTTCAAAGTTTTCGAGATTACGGTTCCCACACAATTATCAGAGACAAACAGGATTATTACGGTTCCATCGGTCGTCGTATAATCTATGATTAAATAGCGTGAAATAACGAATCAGTGTGGTAAGGGTAATCAGACACAAATGAGATCGTTATCGATACAACCGATAGTACTAATAATAAGATTAGACACTTATCTATCGCTCGATAGCTGAGCAAATATTTTATAATTATTTTACTCACCACCTGCGTCATTATAAATGAAATATTTTGTTAATAATGATGGAAATTTTGAAGTATTACTACATATAAAATAATTGTATGAATGTACGCGCCTTTGTGAGATATTGAGTAAATCGTGTTTTTCAAATTCTTTGCACCTGCAATTTCACTCTTTTTTTAGATTTCCTGTGATAAAACAATATTTTATGAGCTGCAAACACAGGTGTTTCTTTGAATAAACATGATAACATGTAATTGCAACAATTTTGTTTCATTGTTAAAAAAGTTATGATGTTTATCTGAAATTTCGATAATAATTGTATACATCTTCGCTGAAAGTCAAAACATTATTAATTTGCAACAGTATCTCTAGACTTTCATCACAACCCCTCTCTGTAACATTTGGCTGACCATTCCAAGCTTTTCTACTTAAATGCAGCTGTTGCAGTAGAGTAGATAAATCTTATCGGAAGTTTAATGCGTTGCTCGTCGACGAAGAATCATCTCGCTCTTTGTCACCTAAACGTTATTGACCCGTAATCGGTTCATTCGCGTTTAAACATATTTACAAATTTAGACCACAGTTTATGCAAGGACTTGAAAATGGAAAAGCTGTATCGATTTATTCGGATGTAAAGGAAAATTCGTAATAACGCGATCTGTCAACAGAGGAGAGTTCATTAAAATCTGAACTCGGTTTGGTAGCTCTTCTTATCGGTCAAATATCATTCATACCTGCAATCAATTACTCTACACGTGCATTTCTCATATTCGAACATACTTTAGATACTCATTTATTCGACAAGTATTAATAATCAGCGGGTTGTGTACGATCGACACTCGAGAACAGTTACTTCAAAAATTTCTACACAATTTCAATTGTGCTTTTCAGTTTAGAACATATCTATTCCCGTCTAGACTACCCGATTTTTGATAATAATGTATCTTATCAAAAAATGTGCGTGTAGGAACAGATATCGATCATGACGTTACAAGAAACATTGTGAAAATTCTTTGACATGGTTACAATGGAAACCAGCAATTAAAACAGTTGCAAGTGTTTATGCTTTCATATCGCTCCCTCTCCATATTGCGAACTTCAATTGCTGTATCTTTCTTCGTTAAATTAAAATAACTCTTCCATGAGTCCCATAGATTGCTGCTGACCTACGATACGAAGCCAGTTAACCCTATTCATGCATGTATAAATCACGATAATTCACTATTAACGCGTTAACAGCAGTGGAGATCACCGGTGACTGACTCTACGAATTTAAATAATCGAATTAAAGGGGACAGAATTATAACGGGTACATTCACTGTGACAGTGTGTTAATTGACTAACCGTGGGAAGCACAGAAGGCAGTATGTATACGTACACAAATAATTATAATACCAGGTTATGACTGACGCGTGACGGGGGTTTAAGCGAGGGTTTACAAATGAAAAAGGGGAAGAAGAGAAAAGGAAACGATGCTCTTTTCCCGCCTCGCAACGAACCGAAGCTGTGTTATTTTTCGGCTGCAAACACGTGTCGAATCTGCGCTGATCCTCGAAGCACGTGATAACCCTTTCACTATGTATGATATACGCATGCACATACATTGCCCAGAATCGAGAAGTACGTAAAGATTAAGTTACGTATCAAAACACGCGATAAGGAAAATTATTCACGAAGTTCAAACAAATAAAACAAGGTGATTTTCCTGTAACAATAATGCTGCAGTTGTCAAACATGGTTGACTTTGAGATAAAACGTTGATCTCGGTCTCGTACTTGGGCGAATAAATGAACAATATTGTTCGCTCGTGATAAGTTTAGTGTCGTTATCGTACGTAACAATCTGTCGGATAACGATCGCTGCAAATAGACGTTTGAACGGTCAAGGATCGCGCGATATTTTTGCCACTTGCAGGGGCCAACAAACTCGCGAACGCATCTAATAAATCCTCGAATTGCTCGAGATCGCGCGGGGTTAATTTCAGATGGTTCTCTCAAGCTTTCGATTCGATGGGCAAAGCTCGCTGGTATCGCGAATAAAAGCATTAATAATTCGAACGAAGCCCTCGATGGACACGTGTACCGCATAGACTCGTTACGATAAATTATGTTCGTTAGAAGTATCGATTTAGCACGTGCTACGATACGTTTACCTTGTTTCGCGATATCGTTAAAAGTTTATTTTTGCTGAAACTATCGACGCGACGTCTCGATCCCTGCTTATATCGACTACTGACTTAACGAGCGACATCGAACATAACCTTCCTTGTTGGTAGTGGCGCGGTGCAGTGCCAAAATTCGAATGTCACTATTTCTCTCCGCTAAACAGTCTATTTACGTGGCGAACAGCATACAATATAATTATCGAATCGCGTCGGCACGCGTTAAATTATATTTCCTTCGCTCTTTCTAGTCATCGCACGTAAAGTTTAAGCGACACTGTTTGAAAATTTTGCGACATTATACGAAGCGTGTCGAGAGTGCGTTTCAATGACAGTAGCAGACCAAAGAGCATTGAGAAGACCGTGAAATTAACTGGGTCATCGTGTAATATGCAAACAAATTGATCTAACGCCACGCATACCTTTTTAGCCGTTATTAAACTACGCACGAAGCTTTCCCAACAAAGAATAAACAGTTGACTAATAAAACCAGGACAGGAAACGACGGAGCGAGATCTGATTGTATAAGACGAACAAAGGCTCTCGGCTCGCCGAGAAGAAGAGAGGCGAATACGAGACTGCCGAACGGACAACGGATTTAAAAGATTCGCAGAACGCTAAAAGAAAAAGAATCACGAACGGGTACCGAAATAGAATCAACTCACCATCGGTCGAAAGTAGAATTTGGTATCCTAGCGGTGTCCGAAATCATACCCTGACGATGACGCTGTGCATCCTCTGTCTCTCCGCCCTTTTGTCCCTCGCTCCACTGTTCACAGTAGTCGTTCACGAAAGAACCCCTCCTGGTCACGATGGTCACCTCTCAAAGCAAAGAGAAACGAAGGTTCTAACACGGTCTTTCGTTACGACGCGCCTTTAATCCTCGCCTTCGCTTTCCCCGCGATCGATGACGAGTTTTTCGAATTGCGAGGCTGCATTCGTTTCCGAAGGATGCGCTCACCACGATCACGTACAGCACGGCTTCCAAGAGATCAAGTCGCGTTGCGTGTACACGCATAAAGCAATAAACCGAGTAGACTCGTGAACCAACTAACCGATTCGGGGTATCAACTGCAACTGACAGTCGAGAGAAACGATCGGTCGACGCAACACTGTTCGGAATCAGCTGTCGCGCTATGCACCGCTGTTCGCCGTCCGCCTCTACCAACAAAATGAACTGAGCTGTCCGACTCGAAACCCAGGGACGACTGCACCGAACGGAGCCCTCTCCCGTTTTCTACGCTCTCGCTCTCTCGTTCAGGACACGACTACCACAACTTCGCGTTACCCTTTCATTACCAATGACTCATGCTATTTCTTTCGATTCGCGATCACTTCAAATAGCGTGGAGACAGCGTCCAGGTGTTCGAACTTTGCACTAACGCGCTTTCTTTCACTTTTCGATCTTATCACCTGTCTAACTAGAATTCGCGAATTCTTTGTTCTTATCGCGGAAAGAATAAGATCGTCTTTTCGATCTTTTCTCCGAGTTTTTCTTCGGTATCTTACGTAAACACTCGAGTCGGATCTTCGAGGAAGGAAACGTTCGTGACTACAAATTTTTCTGAGTACTACTTGTCGAAGAAGTAACGTAACCTAATGATAGATAGGAATGAATCAAACAGACGTGGAACATCTCTGCATAATTTATATGCATGACACATGGCCGAGATTCGAAGGCTGTACATTATCTTTTCTCCCTGGAACGATTAGCGCGGCGATTTGCACGCGAGTACAACGACAAAGGTTCGGTGCACGCGTCCTAAAGAGTTCAAACTATCCTTTCGAATCGAAGTCGAGGGTGTTTCGAGGACGTAGCACGTTCCTGCGTTTCCTCGCGCGCATGCACAACAATGTTCCTCTTGGCAGTCGTTAGGATTGAAATTCCCCTGGGCGCTTCCGTAAATTTCGACCTAATCGTATTCCTGTTCCTAGGCGTACGAAACAGAGAAGGGACACGGCTAGACGGAAAAGAAAAGGGAGCGAAAACGCGTTGGAAAGATCGAGAGGTGTGATCGGTGAACAAGGCGCGACGTTGCGAGAGGAAGCAGGAAAGAAAAGAGCAAAGGAGAAAGGAGCGTGAGTTACCACATGCTGTAGGTCGATACTCTAGCACCAGCTTGGATGCTCGGTGCAGATGTACCGATCAACGAGTGCGTTTGCACCGACGAAACACGCTTTGCACGCCGCGGGTGCAAAGAGAGAGACGGCTAGTGTCACGAGACGATTGTAGACAAGGACTGCCGCACTTGTGAATGAAGATCGAACTTTAGCTTCGCTTCTGACGCAAGTATCGCCACCCTATATTTTCAGGTACGCGTCGAGTACCTTTTCGATGACACCTAGGTACATGTCGTCGCTTCTAAGCCATACATTCTTTATACCGAGGGAAGATAGACAAAAAAGAAATGGAATCGAGTTCAGTGCGTTTCTGTAATGCCGAATCGACTGCTGTACCTGAGCTTCGGTTTATGGGGGCCAAATGATACTCGTAAAGCTATAATGGTTCGTCCGTTCTACTTACGAAGTAGTCGGTTATTTCACATTTGAATCTACCTTCTCGGTATTAGAACACGAAGAAAGTCCTGTATAATAATTTTTTGTAACTCAATATTTGAGCTGACCGCTAATAAAGTTTGGAACAAATTTTCCTCGATTCAGCTCGCGAGTTATCGTTACGGTTTCACGATACGCATTCTTCTCTCTAAATTGGAGCAAAAAATTAAACACAACTGTTTTCTCTCAAACCATTTCGCGTAGAGGCGTAGAATGTTTATTGCTATTCTGTTTTTGCTGTAACTGCGTTCTGCAAAACACGATTCGAGTATTCTTTTCCTTTTCTGCTTTCCTTGCGCATATTTTTCACGTGACTGGACACGAGGTCTTTCTTCGCGAGCTTGAACTTTAACTGAAATGCAATATATCAAATTCGAAGCAGTATTACGCACAGCTTAGAGAGAAATGGTAACGGGCAAAACGCGAAATACGCGTGGATTGTAAGTTTCATTGTCAACAGGAAAAGAGATTGTTCGTCGAGACGAGGAGTTTCCTACGTTATGTGTCTGTAGAATTCCTACGGTGTGTAATCTTCGATTTAAAGAATCCAACTAACGGCAGACTAAGAACCTTACGAATGACAATGCAAGTGTATAAAGCATACCGACGCTTGTGATTACTCGATAAGAACGGGATATATGCGTAATTCGAAGAAGATTATACCGGATGTTTCCAAAACGCAATGATTCGACGAGCAGCGATTAGTATTCTGCGTTATTTGCGAACAAAACATGACTCGACAGCCGCAGGCTCAAGTGTTTTGTTCCAAGTTTTTAAAAAAAAGTAAAAAAACTAGTTCTACAATGAGCCGTTAAAAATTATATTCAAAATTAATTATATAGTCCTACGCATACAAAATGAAGACACGTCGCTTTGCGTTTTTTCGTGGTAGGAAAAAACTCCTTAGACTTTTATAAACATCTAAAAATATTCCGAATATTTAAATTAAAATGGACTATAGACGAGTGTCATATTATCGAACACGGTTCATTAGAAAAGGATAGATATGAAAGCGTGTCGAATGAAAAATTGCAATAAAGAATCGAAGAGTCTTGTGCGTCTCGCTGTATTGTTGTTATGAGTTAGTTTTATCGTATGTTTGACGATCGTGGTCGAAGTTCGCATTGCTTTCCTACATCATCCTGAGTCACGTTTCTGTGATCTTCTACTGAAACCGGAAGCTCTCTGTTAGCCGCGGTACACGCGCACCGAACAACATATTCATGCTAATCCGATAAATAACTTATAAATCGAATTACTAAACGGTCTGTCTTGCGTGTAGAACGAAAACGTGACAACGGAGTATCGACTAGTATCTGAGTCGATTCCGCTAATACTACAGGGAACCGTTCGCGATTTGATAAGTTGGGGTGTACTTTTCGGGCCAATTTTTGCGTAATCGACTTGTCTGTACTTTGACAATCTATTTAGAGAGAACATATCCTGTCGTTCAAATAGCAAACATGCGTGAACTGAATTCACGGAATAAAAACAGCACGCGAAGCGTCTTTCGACGAGAAATTGAAATAAACTTTTCGACATTTTTTTAGCGTGAGCTTGAGAGCTATCAGACGATAGTTAGTACGAGAATGTGGGTCTTCGAGATATAAGTGTTGCATTATATTTATCTCGCAGAAAGTTTAACTCATGAGTTAAAATTACTCATGATTTCTTTCTTATTCGTTGCATGACCCTTGTATAATATATTCTGTACTTTCCGAGGCGATTGTTCCATCTTCTGAGTCAGACGCACTCGCCGCGTCGCGTATCAGGCCGCACACATAATCGGAATTTTATATTTCATTACTGTCCTATTATTTCGTTCCATAAAGAAAGATTCTTGAGATAGTTGATACTTGATTCTGCTTGATTATCTTTTTCCGCGAAAGTTTTTTGCGGGCTGGATTATCCGGAGCGAACGACGAACCGCTTTCGACAAATTCACCGTTGATTCTAAGAACTTAAAGTTTATGGGTACCCAAGGAAGAAAGCCCCGAGTCCTCGCATTCCTCGTCTTCGATTATGGCTGTATAATCACGTATTTGCTACTTGGTTGCAGCTGTGAGTTATTCAGTTTTTGTTCTTCCTTCGATGTTCGGAAGTCACGCAAAGGTTTTTCGATCTTTCGAAGGATCATTATCTACCGTGAGCTGAATAAATTTTGCAACCATATTTACGATATTACAATGACTATCGCAATTTTGTACAACCTCAAAGATCTACTTATTAATCTATATCGCGATTTAATGATTGCTACATTCTCACTTAGATTACGCGACACGTTGCTCGGTACACACGCACCCGATCATAAAACGAGAAAGACGAGTACCCCTCTTTAGCTACATGTATTAAAACAAAGAAATCGAACGATGGAAGTGATTTCATCTGCAATCGTTCAGGGATACACGATATTTGGCTTAAAAATTTTAACTTGAGAAATTTTCCATGAGGTCTTTTAGCATGAATACGTAATTTTAATTTGCGAACAAAGTTTTAGAAAAAAAATGTTTATCTTTCCGGTGTAATATATAGGCGCGCGCAAATTTGATACGTTCAAATAAATCTTTCCGGTATTCTGGAGTGACTAAAACATGAGATACACTGTAATATTTAAATCGATAAATGGTGAATAATTAATGACCTAGAATGCTTGCATCATGAAATTACGGACCATAGATAACCAAGTTTGTAACACAACGAAATTGATTCTACTTTTAGTTTCTTGCAAGAATACTTTAATGCGAACAGCTGCGTTTAATCGCAAACGATACGAATCTTAAAAATGTCAGTTTTAAGTGACGTGAAATCACCGTCATAAAGGAGTAAACATAGTTGCTTTTTCTACACAAAATGATAATATGCAGTAATATGCGATCTAATTGAATTGAATCCTTCTTGTACTTTGGACGAATGCTACGAGAGATATAAGAGGGACACTTGCACTCCGCGTTTAAGGAGCTTCGCGGGGAAGGATTTTTGCAATTTATGGAAGCTAAAAAAATGCAATGCGTGATAACAATGAATTGTGATAGTCGGAATTGGATTAGTTGAGTTGTTTCTGGGTTAGATTTTGATAAAGTTTAGTTAATCTTGTGCAGCGTTTAAAGTTATCGATCACAACGATAATACTTCAATGATTAATTACTTGGCTCGAACTAACTGACAATGCGAATAATGTCCCCAAGCTTCGTACTCAAAAGTATGCTGAATAGACAATATTACCGTCGCGTGAAACGATACATATGCACTACCATACATTAAAGATAACTTTACAGGTGTTCCCAAGGCAATCTAGAGTTATTATCACATGTATAGAATTGTTTTGCAAATGATATCGTAGAAACTTTTTATTTTTGCAAGTTTAATTTTATTCGTATTCGATGGATTGTTCATATTTTAACATTTCGTTGTATAGTATTTTAAAAATTCGTTTTTTTGAGGTGACTTTCAACTTGTTGCCGACTTCGTGTTGTTCGTACGAGTGCATAACATTGGAATGAATGAGCGAACGAAAGAGTGAAAGAGCGAGTTTCGTGACAGAGGTCGCGATTAAACGCTTACTCATACGCAGTATCGGGCGAGGTTTATGTTGGTTGAGAATTTGCAAGTCGCATCAAGTCTTATTTGAACAAATACGAAATGTTTTACGATTTTCGAGATTCGAAGATATATGGAAAGCAGAAGAAAAATATTTGTTTTGTTTATTGCAATGAAAATAGTACCAGAGGGAGACAGCTATACTCGTAAGCAGCAGCACGTAGATACATGATTGCACAAGCGAGTAAAGACATTAAAATAGAGAGAGAAAGAAAGAAAGAACGAAGGTAAACTTGCACAAGACAGTAGAAGGGATGCGACGAAATCGGCCGTAATTCGATCGAAGCACTGATTTACGCAAAAATATATTCGAAATGTTTGAGCCGACTGAACAGGGAAAGGTGAGAACCATTCATGAACAACTGACGTTCGTGCAAGTACGATTTTCCTTATCGTAATGTCTTCCACTTCGAATGTCATGCTCTGTCAATTTTGAGAATGATGTAAACATTGAGCCACATGCAATACTTAGGGAATGTCAACAAGACCTGTCAGCTTTCGTGTAAATACGTAAATTCATAAGTGTCATTCACTTTTTCTTCAAATTATGTATACATTGTTGTTATCATGTATATGAATAGACTGATTGTACCCGTGATATCTAATAATAACATTCCTAGTAAGGTTATGCGCTTGTCATTCATATTGTAACTCTTCATCGGAGCTTCCTTCCAGTTTAATTTTATAACTTACAATGCTGTTCATATTATATGTACATAATTATGTATTTCTTTGAATCTCATATGCGTTATAAAGATTTATTTATCTGGCTTTACGTTAACCAGGATCTGTGCATTCATACCGGAGTGGTACTTCGAAGTGCAAATACAAGGGAGGACGAGGTTCACAGTTTAGGCACTTTAAATATCGTTGAATACGTAAGCAAACTTTATACGAAATAAAATCTTATTATATATGGTATGTAACAATTTTTTTACAATTACAGAGTTTTGGCAAATGCATAGAATGGAAACCTATAGAGGATTCTGTAGTATCAGAAAATCAAGATCAAGATCCTGAATGGTCTTTGGTAGATACTCATACTAGGCGTACTCATACTTCCTCAGAAGGACCAGATTCTCTTGGTCGTACAAGAATCGTCAGAATTTTATTCTCAGACTTGAATTCGTTTCGTGTTAACCATGGAGGACAACAACTTATATTCATGCAGAAGGATGGTACCACCTATGTTGCCTTTTTTCAATTATCTAATGCAGAAAGTTTTGTAAATTCTTTAAAAGGTTTTATTAAATTTGTAAAGTCTCGTGCAAACAGAAATTTGTATATTGTTGTGGATGAAGTTCAGTCTGTTCTCAGTAAGTCATTTGCTGAATTAGATTTGTTCCAAGAAAATACTTCAGATTATGTTTGGAAGTTTGTGAAAAATTTACATAACCGTCCATATGAAACAACGTTAGAAGCATTTAGTAAACTGGCAGATATTTGGTGTAAGTGTATAAAAAGATCTTTAGATAAATCTAGTATATAATTTATCTGATATCCAACAGCTAATAAACAATTTGTTAACTTTAAATTATAGTATACAAAGAACCAGTTAAGCGTCCAGTTGAAGAAGCAGTTGCAGATCTGCTAAATAGTTCCCTTACAATTGATGTTCCTCATCCACCAGTATCTGTTGGTTCTGGGGAAGAATATGAAGTAATAGGTCATGGACTAGGAGTAACGTTACCTCCGCGACCGCCTTGTCCGAGAGGTTCACCATTGTCGCAAGAACAATGGAACAAATATAAGGATCCTGAGGGAAGAATTGTAAATCCTCAGGAAGTAAAAGAAGTTATATTTCGTGGGGTATGCGTAATATCTTATATTTGATATGATTACAAATTTACAATTGCGTGAAACAAAATAAAATATCATAGGGAGTTGCCCCGTCGTTACGTTTCGAGGTATGGAAATTCTTATTAAATTACTACCCATGGGATTCTACTCACATTGAAAGGTTAGAACTTAAAAAAAAGAAGACTGACGAATATTTCATGATGAAGTTACAATGGAGATCTATGACTGTCACGCAACAAAATAATTTTTCCGATTACCGAGATCGGAAAAGTTTGATAGGTAACGCATCACAATGTTGAAGTAAAGTGGTGCATGTAAAATACACGGCTGATATATGATATAAATATTTCAGAGAAAGATGTGAACAGGACAGATAGAACACACCCATACTACTCGGGCGATAATAACCCACATTTAGCACAATTATACGATATTCTTATGACATACGTGATGTACAATTTCGATCTAGGATACGTTCAAGGTATGAGCGATCTTCTTAGTCCTATATTGTGCTTAATGGAAAACGAAGTTGATGCATTTTGGTGCTTTGTTGGGTTCATGGATAAAGTTGTAAGTTTATACGCTTTAAGTTTTTAAATATGATATTCTGTAATATATGTATGAACAATTATTATATACAAAACAGTGTACCAATTTCGAGATTGATCAAGCTGGAATGAAAGCCCAATTATGCCAATTGTATACTCTCTTGAGTACTACGGATCCACAATTAGCACATTATTTGAATAAACACGATTCTGGAAATATGTTCTTCTGCTTCCGTTGGCTTCTAGTATTGTTCAAACGAGAATTCAACGCGATAGATATAATGAAATTGTGGGAAATATTATGGACGGATTTACCGTGTAAAAATTTCCATTTACTATTATGCGCAGCCATCTTAGATACAGAAAGAAATGTACTCATGGATAATCGTTACGGATTCACAGAAATACTAAAGGTAACTACACAAGATTGTACAGTTGGAAAGTAACTTCTTCTTTATTAACATATGCTATTCGTTGCAGCATATAAACGATCTTTCACTCCATATCGAGTTACCCTGGACATTATCTAAAGCAGAGGGTATTTATCATCAGTTAATGGCTGTAGCGGACCAATTACCTGATAACGTTCGCGCAGTAATTGGACTAGAACCTTTAAATAAAACGTTGGTAACTAATGATACCGAAAACGGCGAAGCCTCTGGTCAAGACACTGACGAAGTTGATGGAGTCAACGGTAGCCCAAGAAGAAATAGTACAGAAAGTGATAACGTTAAATTTGGAAATAATGAAGTGTCGTTTGAACGCGGGTTAAATTTATCGTACATGTGAGACCAGGATCGATCGTTCATCATAATTTGAAGAACGTGTTGTGCACCACAGTCAATTCTGCAAAATTTATACTTTTAAAAGTTAATGTTCATAGTCCTGTTTTTGGAGAGAACATATGTATTGTTTGTGGAAATAACTCAGTCATGTCTTAGTGATTCTTAACGAACTGTATCGTTGTCTGAAATGCGTTGTAAAAAGAAATGTACGAAATGTATTATTCCGATTGAACGCGTCGATCGCTGAACCTGAAATTTTGCTGCATAAATGTCAAATATTACGTCGAATTTACAAAGTTACAGCAAAAATTTGTTAGTAGCGTTGAATTTTGAGATATTTATAAAATTTATTGTAATTACAGAGAGATTATAGACCATGCGCATATTATTTAGTAAATAAGTAAGGAGTAGTTTCATACATATATGTATGTATGTTCTTTGTCTTAACGATACTTTTAATGTACACAAATTCTTAATCATGTGCAGAAACTATTCACAGCATATTTTGAATTCAACTGGTGTTTATGCGTTTGTTATTTTCACCTAAGTTTGAATATCTTTTTCCAGATTTGTATAAAGCCTCACGATAGTACTGTATATTTCTAATAAAAATTACCTAATTAATCTTTGATACACATCATTCCTTTAGATACAGCTCTCACGGAATAAAAAAAAATAAATTTTTTTCTTCATGCGCGCGATCATGGTTTATGTTTATATTTTGCGTTCGGTGTTCCATCTATCGCAGTTTCCCGTAAGAACATAAAAAGCGTAAACAATGGTGTTCATTTGAACGTAAACCTTTTATTTATTATACAAAATAGATATAAGGTATGGAATTCGTTGGTATAAAACGTAATAGAAGTCGGAGAAGGCGAAGATACCTCGAGAGACGACGTCGTGAACAAATTAAGTTAGAGGTTAAGGCTGCGAAACATCGAAGATCTCTTTTGGAACGTACTAATACTTTTGTTGCTAAACAGAGATTCGTTACAAACACAATGCATGCTAATTCTTTTTGGGAAAATTATACAGCTGCTCAAGAGTGGCAAAGAAGGTTAGTTACATGGTTGTTTTCAGACTTAATGTTTGAATTTTGGTAAACTCTGGTTACAATAATACATAGTTTATAAATTTTGTAACGTGTTTGAATGACTAATATTATTTTTAGGCACAGTGTAACATGGTGGAGAACACGTTGCACCGCTTTAGAATATGAAAATCAAGTGTTAAGAGACAAATTAAGGTCATTAGTGAATGAACATGCTCAGCAGTGTTCTTCTCGTTTACCAAAGAAGCAAGATGCAGCAGAGGAGCAAGGATCAATGTTAGCAGAAGAAAATGAAAATCTAGAATTTCATGTGAACGAAGATATGATGAACTTTTTAGAGCAAAGCATGAGGCACAAAATAGAATTACAGAAGAAGCGGGAGTCTGAGTCATTTAGTAATGAAGAGTCAGAAGATAAGAGTGAAAATATTCAAGGAGGTGCTGCTTGGGTACAGGCAAGAAACAAGAGTGCAAAATTATTGTACGGAGAAGCTAGTCCTACTATATTAGCAATGGAAACTGCTCTTCAGACTACTGTGGATAGACACAAAGATAAAGCAAAACCTCAGTATTGGCCTGTTATTCCTTTAAAACCGTAAATGCTAAGATAATAGGTTATTACTCAAATTTTAATATATTTAAATATGTATTTTATGTAAAAATATATAGAAATCTTTTGTATCTCTCGTGTTTTCCAACGCACTACTTATCCGTGCGAGCTATTATTCTTGTTTGCACGGCTGACGGAAGATGACGCTACGCACTCGTTTCTTCGGAATGCACTTTTGAGCATTCGGTGAATTTGTCTTATACATTTAACGAATAGGTAATTAGCAAACACAACAGTTATTTTCTTTTCTAAACTTTATGGACATCTTACAAGTATAACGGTACCAATTAACTGAAATGATCCGTAAAAGTCAAGAAAATGAAAATAGAAGTCTCGCGCGAACACGCTAGAGGCAAGAACGAGGTGTTCTCGTCGAGTCTTACCGCTGTAGGCTAGCCATAAATGACACCTCCGTTATATATTATACAGAGGAAGCAATTAATAGGTAATCTCAACGATTGAGCAATTATATTAACACATTGTTGTAACGTATATTTACATTCGTGTAAGTAGGATGAACACAGGAAGAATCGCATGAGGATATGGCGTGAAAAATCGTTCATAAACGCAGCAGTAAAAACGCGATTACTCTATTAATCTCAATAAACGAGTCTCACAGATATCGTCGATTTATTTCGATAAAGAGTGGAAAAGATGTTTTAGTGGGACACGAGTTAAGGGCGATCGGTGTCGTTGTGTATCGAAGATAGATTAGAAAAAGACGTACGAAAGAGTTCGGCCAGTCTGTCAATACGTTATCTCACGGTCGATCCGCTGACACGGTCCATGGAATTCTGGGACCAGTTCGAGAGGTTCCAACACCGATATTTCGGTCCAGAGAAAGCCCCTAATTATCGAGATAACGCGTGTCGCGGTGTCGATACTGGTTACGTATCGGATCCCCACCTTTTTTTCCTACACTCCCACGGGATTTTTGGATGATTTGTTGCCGTTGGAGGTATTTTGAATTCTTCCCATCCAGACACATTTCGAAGAAAAATTTATCGATCCTTGTACCATTTATTTTGCATTTAACTTCTTTCATAAACCAGGTCAAGGAAACGTGTTTTTATCGAAACTTTGTACGTACTTGTAACTTCTTTACGACCCATCTTCGTTCCCGTTTTACAGAGATTCTCAGATCTATCGATCTATAGATAAGTTTCTTTTTCGATTCGTGACAAACCGGTCGTTCCTACGCAAAGTGGGCCCAGTATACACAACAAACTGTTTTATATCTACCAGCAACTTTCATTTAGATCTTTATCGATCAACTTTCACGGTGTACTCGCATATTGCTCCTTATTATTTCGCCGTTGACGTTCTCGGCACTTCCCTACGAACGCAGTAACCGACGTTTCTTTTTCCCTCTTCTTATCTTAATTCGTCTAACTCTAACCGAAACGGTCGATCGTTCCGATGCTTTGGCGATAAATTCTCCGGCGAGCGTTTCCGCCTATCTTTCGACACGCAAATTGAAACTAACGAGGTGTCTTGTCCGGCATTCGTTCGACATAAAGTTCACCGTGCGCACAACCGTCGTCAGGGTTATGAATTTAACTGGTTTCTCTCGAAATCATCCGACGTTCGTCCCGCGTTTCGTAATAACGCGCGGTTAATACGCAAAAACGACGAAAATGTTTCTGCTCTTTTTCACCGGCAATTTCGAACGTTCTCCCGTGATCGTGCTCCAGAATCGTTCGTTGGATGCGACCTCATTGGAACGTTTTAAAACCTACCTTTCGTGCAACCGCGTCAAGATAGCGCTGGAGGGAGTCGAAAAGAAAGGTGGGAAGAGAAGGGGGTTTACTTTTTATCGGGTCCGTGTCATTAGCGGCCGCAACGAGTACTATAAGTTCGTATCAAGGACTCAGAAGTCGAAGAGATCTTCGGGACCAGTGACGACGATGACGAGGACGAGGACGAGGACGAGGACGAAAGATACTAAAGTACCTACCACCGTTCGCCTTATTAGGCCTCATCCTCTCTTTCCCTTCGTCCTTTTTACCCCTCTCGGTCTTGATCCTTCTGCTCTTAAAATCATGGCTGCACGTAACCGTCTACTGATTATATGGATTCGGCGATGATTTCTGATGATGCCCCCGACCCCCGAAATGGTAAAATAATACAGTGTCGTCTCCTAGCCTGGACCCTTTCGGGTCCCGTGGGCCGGTTCGTTAGCGGGGCCTTGGCGCGAGGCACCCTGTCATTATGCGGCTGGTCTCCATCACCCCCACCAGTTCCCAATTTTCAGTGCCCCTCTACTACGCCTCGACGAAATCTCTTATATATACTTCGCTTTCTTCCCTTTTTGCCTCCTCTTTCCTTCTACTCATCCTCTCTTTCGTTCTTTCCTTTTTCGCCGCTCTATTATATTCTACGGTTCATAAGGCTCGCTAAAGTTAATGGGACGAAGAGAGGCAGAAACGTCGTTGCTACGAAATTCGGGTAATACGCGGCTCGCCGATTAAAATAGCGATCGGTATTGTTACGAATCGTGTACACGTTTTATCGCGACGATCTGTGCTCTCTCTCGAAAGTTTATACATCCAAATTGGCTACCGCTCACGATTAAACGTCTCGCGTATCCTAGGATGTAGGAAGGAGAACGGAAGTTGATGATGGTCGCGTAACGAAATTATCTATCAAGTTCTCCATTGCGCGTCTCGAAATCACGTTTTTTACGAAACTCGAGCGCGAAACTCTAGAGCCGCTCACGACTACTGCGGACATTCGAAACTCGTAACTCGATCGCGCTCGGTCTGGCTGGTACCATCGTTGCTTCTTTGCTCGTAAGAAACGTAGTTACTTCTTCTTTGTCTACTTTTTCTTTTTCTTCTTCTCTTTCTCCTTCTCCTCAACCGTTGCTCGCGAGACGAATTTTTTCAGCGAACAGGAGCAATTCTTTTTCCCATTGTGTTGTCACGGGCAAAGAGGGTGTACGTTACGAAAAGGTTTAAATGAATACTAGCTGTCTCCGAATTGCACTTTGCCGTTCGAGCTTCTGCCAGGAGTTGCCTAGATTGTTCTCTCGGTATATTTCGTGTACCCATTAATTCAATGTTAAACTCGAGTTACGTAAATGGTAAGATTTGTACAGTTTTATATATCGTTGAGGTTATCTTGGTTCGACGACGAAGGACACAGTCGCGAAAGACGCGTTAGGGGTGCGTATCGATGTCGGAAGTAGCGGAACTCGAAAGAATCCGATTCTTTTTGAAAAAGTTCGAGTCCTTTCATCTTCGAACGACTCGTCCTTGACAACAAGTTGGAAGGGCGTAGGCGGTCCTCGCGACCGGCAATCATTTCGCTTAATGACGAGAGCTTTTGTCGGTCCTTTCCTCTCCTAAACCTCGGATTATTGCATCGTGCTCTTTCCACACGGACCACTTTGCTTCTTTCCACGTTTTCTTCTTCTTCTACCCTATCTTCTCTTCCTCTTTCTACCTTTATTTTCGAACTCTGTAATTTTCCCCTAGCGGCCATGCCACCATGCCGTGCCGAAATTGGTGTACGCCGACAAGATTTCGTAGAAATCTTGGACGTCCCTTAATGGGAAGCAGTCTCTGAACGGTGACAATGGCACTTCTGTTGCGGCGCTTCTCTCTTTCTCTCGAAACGGGTACAAATCGTAAAAAACGAGAAGAAGAGTATCGATGCAACGAGAGGAGCTGGAAAGAGGGAGGAGGCGAAAGAAGAAGGAAGAATCGCGAGAGTCGAAGAGAATTAGGAGGACAATCGCGAAGGAAATAAGGTCGAGAAAAAAATGTTGACTATAAAGAAGAAGGAGAACGGAGGAGGAGGGGGAGGAGGAGAAGAAGAAGAAGAAGAGTCTGTCGTCGATATCTTGCTTTCGGCCCGGCACAGATCAACGCGAGGCATGCGATTCGAAGTCGAGAACGACTCGAGACAACGTACGCGATCCTTCGAACAAAAGCGATCGAAAGACGCAAATTTATTCCTCTCCGATGTTTCGAGCGTACTTTTGTGCGTTGCGTGACATCGTAGAGAACGACGAATTGTAAAACAGGACGATTTCGGGAAATTGTAACTTTCCAGAGCAATTAACGTGACAAGATACTTTTAGCGGAAACGTTAGACTGTCACGTTTTCTGATCGATAATCTCTGCAGCGTCGGATCTTACAAGTAAGGGGATAGTAACTCGAAGTTTCGTATGCACCATTCAAATATACTGTTACCAGCTAACAACGAGTTTAAAAGGATATAACGTCGTCGGTCGGGACGAACGCGTTACGCGATTCGTGATCGGATCCGTTTCCGGCACCCGGTATCCAGCACCTGCGAAAGATCGGACCGTGTGGCCGATGCCTGAGCAAACAATACGAACGATGATGCACCGTCTCGAGCGCATTGTCCGTAGCGAGTGGTAGTAGGCGGCGGATTTATCTGCCTACTCGTAGAGTCAGGTAGAGGAGTCCAAGGGTCCTCGACCCAGGAGACGCGTCGCGAGCCGACGGAACCGATGAATCTCTTCCTTTCGTTTCGGCGCGATTTCGTTGCGCTCGCGTTAACGTTTCCGCTGATCGTCGATGACGAAACGATTTCTCGTTTCCGACTATCGCGAGCGAAGGAAGTGCACGGGGCTCGCGCGCGCACGGTATCGATGGCGCACGCGGCTGTGCACTAATCTGAATTCTTGGCGCATATGAAATTCCAGCGCGTGCCCGTAGGAGCGGAATTCGTTAATTTGTTCGTTTTTTAGACGAGATGGACACGCTTTTAGATTCTTGGTCTCGCCTGTCGCGTCATGAGTCATCGGTGATGCACGGAATTATTAACCGAAGAATTTATCATTTACGTTCTACCTGCGCGGTGACGGTAAATCATTGGTGATCTATGCGCGCACCGCCGCGAAATATATTATCGAAGCACGCAATTATTCCGGAAAGCAGAGTTCGAGACGCTGTATCGTCGCGAGGTATCTCATGCATCATGCAACCAACAACGGCCTCGTGCCCTCCCAGGGGACGTGTTAACAGATCGTCAAAATGAATGCGCCGCTTCCTGTTAACGTGCAAATTTCTGCGACCTTTAAACGCGATCTACTCG